TTGACCCGAGGTCAACCACCGGACTGTAGGTTAGCATGCCATTACATGGAGTGTTTGGAGGACTGCTTTTTTATGGTTAGTTTTGTCCGGAGAGCAGTGACCTGTGGTTCATGACAGCTATCGGTGGCATCCAAAACGCGTTGGCCGCGTTGAAGTTGGTCCTGGTCTGATCCACCCAGCCTGTGGGTAACCGGTTCGGTCCATCTTGCTTTCCTTGTTGTAGTGTTTCAAGCATCACGCTGTGATCGGTAAGTGATTCTTTTCATGAAAAATTAACATCCTTTGTACCTTTCAACAGAACAACATTCTCTCTTGCAGGGTTTCAAACTCCACCAAGAAAAGGTTCTCGATCCACCAAGTGTTCAAAGCCAGACGCTATACGTAGACACTCCATGAGACTGGCATAGATCTACATCGGGGACTGTCCCAGACAGGTCGGGTCCGTTGAGTTTGCGCCCAGGGTGGTGTGGAACTTCACTCACGTGCCCCCAGCGCCCACGGGGAGCCTCAGCCTCCATTCGAGCACAGAGACTTCTTTGGTGGTTCCTCGGTGCAGCCGGAAGTGGCTGATTCCGTGGGTTCCGTACGCAGGAGATGTCCAATCCAAGTGGCCGAAAACGTCCGTACGAAGTGTTTTTGGGGTTCCGATCCATCATCCATGTCGTGTACTTGGAGGTGCTTCTTGCAGCGGTGAGTGCTGTTAAATCTGTCTATGATATTCTCTGTTGCTGGTGCTTGATTGGTATCAGTGTGCCCGGGAAGGCATGCCCCAGGACAGGTTGTTTTGTGTTTTGAAATGCCCAAAAGCACATAATGAGAAAGACGGACGTGACATGACACTCCTGCAGAGTAACATGGACCAATGAATTGTGCAGCAGCATGTCGCACAGCAGAGTTGCAGCTTGCAAGCGGCATCATTGCTGGTCTTTCTCATCGTACAGCCGTAGCATCTCTGATGTGTTGGAATTAACATCACATGAGTGGGTATGGGTTGAAAGGCCACCTCCTTGTTAGTGCATGATAGGCTACCTGGGTGAAAACAATTCTCTTCACATCTAGGCTCTAGGCATCTAGGGATCGTTGCGTTGGCTCTAAGCTTGAAGTCTTATCAATTCTCACGCTTGTGCAGGCGGGACAGTGTGAGGTATCGAACGATCAGTTGAACCTTTGTAGTTGCTTTTGTCTTGCAAGCCTTGCGAGTGCGAGCGGGAGGACGTGCATTGGATGGTGAGGACCACACAAGTCTTCCTGCCGGCCCTTGCAATATCATTCAATCGATTATGATAAAAAAGCGATGTTGGTGCAATCAGCCTTGCAGACCGCGTCAGTTGACAAATGCCATTGGAAGTCCGTTCAATACTGTGACCAGACTCCTTTGTTGGAGAATCCATGTGGACGTTCTCTCATGGCACAATGGACTTTAGTGGACATCTGTGTGAACTGTCCTAACATCCACTTTCACTGGCCTCACCACCAGAAACAGCCGGTCTATGTTCCATGATGATGAAGTTGAACTCTTGTGATGTGCTCCCTTTCTGCAAGTGCTGAGGCAGCCGAGTTGTTTGGCTCTGGGACCGTTGGTTTCTTTTCTGAACACTTCTGACTTGTGGCGGTACTTTGCCAGCGAACGCACATCATGGGTTTGTCCCAAAAAGAAAGCCTGGTACAGTACAGTACGAAACATGGGCCTCATTGACCATTGAACCTGATGGCCAAAGATGCTGTTGACGACATCACACTTGACTCTACATGCCTAGTTGCCTAATGACAGTCGTAGACCATGATTGAAAAGGAACAACACCCCACATCTTTTTGGGTATACTTGTAATGCTGGGTCTTTTGCCTCTGACTATATATATATATATATGCACAGTGTATCCTTTGCCTGGCGATTCTTTGGTGCTTGTCTTTTAAAAGGATCACACTTGGGTCAGGGCACCCATGAGCCAAGCCAAGGTCCACGTCACCTACGATTTGCCGGTGACGGTGCAGTGCGGCGTGTTGACGGGCGAAGGTGCTTCGCGCGATCGCTCCCCGCGCGAGCACAGTGAGTTGGATAGAATGAACTCACACCATCTGAGATGAGGAGGGGTCACTGTTTTGGTTCAAGTGCACAAGAAGGGGTTCCTGGAGGAGAAGCTTATCATACAACTCACAACTCTTTCTTCCAACCATGAGTGGAAAGGCGGTGAAGAACAGATGTTTACACTCATAGGCACTCATAGGCTCCAAGAGAGCTTGTTTGACACCGGCTTGTTTTATGTGTGTGTGTGTTTCTTTTGGTTGGTTCGAACTTCTGTTCTAACTGCTTTGTGCTATGTTCCTCGATGTTCTAACTGCTTGGTGCGTCACCGGCGTCGCCCCCCGTCTCACCGGGCCCAGCGAGGCGTCGCGCACCTGGCGCCCGCGGAGGATTTCACGGGCGCCCGGAGCTTCGTCGAAGCACCTTGACGCGGACCGCCGAGGTCGGTTGATGTGGTCGGGTGATGCGGACGAGGGAGAAGACAGGCGAAGCGAGAGGTCTTAGTCCCGGAAGAGGTTTGTCTTGCTTTTGGCATGGCTTGCGTGGCTTGTGGGGGGGGGGCCCGGTGGAGGTGGTTTCAATTGGGTTTTCCCATGTATTCCCTGTGTGTTCCTACTGATTTGCTGATCTTTTCAGGGTTATGCCAGTTTGTGTAGGCACGGAAGATAGAGGGGGTGAAAAGAGGATAACACAGGTTCACCTATAGTTCCATCAGAGTATTTTCTGGGCCACTGTGTTTCACCCGCAAAGTTGCCTGGGGATTGGACCTGAAGTTTTACTCCTTGGTCGTTTGGATTTCAATTGGTAAAGCGATGGTATGGCTCACGAATGATTCAAGGGGGTATGGTGTTCGCTCGCCGTCTTTTCAATAGAAACCAGGTTGGCGGTGTCTTTCTCTTTCAGAACTGATTGTATTTTTTCTGATCCGACCGGATGCAATCGTGGTACAAACAAGCGCAAGACACACTTCCGGAACCTCCCACAAAAAAACACCGAGCCTATACTATATACTGTAGTTAGTTCATGTTGTTTTACATAAGTTCACTCATAAGAGGTTCTTCTGCACGGGGTATGACAAGGAACAGCTACGGTCTATGGTATGACGAAACAGCAGGTCGAAACTTCTGCCGCTCATCCAGAAGTGTCATGATGGTGACGTGTGTGGCTGACAACATCGAACTTTGAACTGAAACATTTTCCTTGGTCCGTTTGTGAACTTGGGCGCTTACACATTTGCCGCCTTCACCATATTATATGTACCAATGTACCATTCCTGCTCTTCCGAAAAGACATCTTGCTTGCAAACATGTTATATAAACGAAGTCCGTATGTCATGCAATTCTTGAATCCTCCTGTTCATGCTTGTTCAGCACTCGGTTGACCCCTCATATCTCCCCTCTTCGCTCCTCTCACCCGTGTGGTCACACCGTCTCACTGGGTCCGCCTGAGATCCGCATCACGGGCTTAGAGCCCTTTACGCAATACACGGTGACTTGCACAGGCGCGGAGGAAGTCGTGAAACCGCAGTACGGTACGGTAAAGCCGGTAGTAGTCCGCGGTTCCATGGAACCGGTATGAACCGGTGGTGCGCAGGTTGGTCAGGTGGTGTGGTCAGGTTGAAATGTCTCTCCGGTTGAGTCTCCCCAACCATAGTGTGCCCTAAGGTAAGAAAAGTATTGGGGTGATGAGAAAAGTATAGGTTCTGCTCCTCTTCGCCGTGATTTTGTCAATTTTTGCCAGCTTCGCCACGCAAGTGTTCAATCTCGCAGGATTCGGACTCGTCATTCTGGGTGGTAGTATGGCTCCATCGGTGACCTTCACTAGTGAAGAAAGGCCTTCTCTCAGCTCTGTTCGTCAGATGGTCTGGAGCAAAAAGATGAATGTTGCCATTCCAAAGGCGCCCAAGTTGACTGGAGATTTGGCTGGGAAGCCTGACTCAGTTCATCGAAGCCAACATAGTCAGGCTGACTGATTCCGCTTGGTTTCTACCAGGTCGCCAGCAATGTTCCCTTTCACCCATGCAGCTTGGACACCTCCGTGTCGCACGCAGGCGTTGTGATTGGCAATCCAGCTCTCAACTCCACAGTGTCTTGGAGGAACTGAAGTTGCAGCCTTCGGTGAGGCCACCGATGAGTCGGTTTTCGAAAGACTTGGAGTCTATGGACGGACGCCGAGTCGTGCGCCAGTCGTGGAGTTCCGAAGCGTCTCCGCTTCGGATCGTCGGGGAATGGGCCCCCGCCCAACATGGATCTTTGAAAAACCGGTTTCTTGTAGCACGCAGCTTGCAGCTGCGAACCTGCATTTGCTCCCCACCACTGTTTGCAAGCTCCACCAGCTACGTATGGCACCAGCTGTGACGCACGGCAGCTCCATCAGCTCCACGCTTCAGGTGACTCAAGCAGGTTTGTCGACGCTGGTGGACACCGATGATACCTTGTCTGGCATCACTCTGGTGGTGGAGGACGGAGCCCAAAGCGACCAGCCGGGTGCTGGAAGGAAAAAGGAAAGGAACACGGAGAAGGAGGGGAAAAGATGGTAAGATGGTTGGTTGGTTGGTTGGTTGGTTCTATTCCCTTGCAGACATGTACCCCTTTTGTTGCCTATCAATAAGTGTCAGAACAAAGCCAGGTCACCCATTTGATACTTCCAAAGCTACCAGAGTACCAAAGCAACGCCAGAACCAGCATCAATCACTCTTAAACCAAGAATCCTAAGTTTATATCACTATAGACATCATAACCCCTAATATACCCCATATATATATATATACATATACACACTGAAAATAGACGTCATTCATGCAGTATATAACCTTCATATCCTTCATTCACCCCAAGACATCTCGACGTAACACGGCGCCCGCCCGGCGCGTCAGGCGCTCTGCGACGGCGACGGCGCCTTTGTCCAGCCCATCGATGCCGCGTTCTTTCCGCCGTGGCTCGTTCGGACCAAACAGATGGGGAGGGTTGGATGGGAGGAATGGTGGACGATGGTATGGTGGTGGAAAAGCGTTTGGGCACCCTGTAACAACGATCACTTGTGTTACCAAACGTCTCCAAAGATCTGAAAATTTGAGATCACTTGGGATACATGTTGGGTTGGAGGGAGGGGATGTTTTGTTTTAAATAAATATATATATAGGTCAAAATATTTGTCGTGACAAGGCCATGACTGATGTAATTAGCATGTGGCAGTAGCAGTTTGTTCCTGGCATGGATTTGGTGGAGCTTCTCCCTACTTAGCAGATTTCCTGCTACTCAACTCATAGGTTTTCTTTTGTCCACACATGCGCGAAGTTGTTCTTGCAATCGGATGAGCCTGAGTGCTTGTGGGAAGGACCTAGGCCTAGGCACACTGGCCACGAACCCCAGCCTAGTTGCCATTGTTCACATGGCATTTCGCAGTTTAGTCAATCCCAGGAAAGCAATCCCACAAGATCCCCAAAAAGTGATGATCCTGTCATGGGTCCTCCTGGTAGGGGGTTGAGTCACCTGGAAGAAACTCGCCGCAAGACTGAGGGTGGAACAAATCGAAGAACCTTCAAACAAAAACCTATACAGTATATATAGCGGCAGACTTTAAGAGAAATTGTTCATTTGCCTTAAAACCATTTATGATCCTTTATGTTTTCTTTGGCATGTTCCACATGGAAACATTTCTTCCACTTAGGGCGCCACAGATTCTCTCCGCTCCAAATTCTGCTGCGAGGTTCTCCCCAGAGAATCGTCAGTACCAACTCTCCTTGGACGCCGACGCTTGGATTCGATCACGCCGCAATGCCGCTGGACGCTGGATCCAAACGCTGAACCCACCGGGTGGATCCAGAGAATGTGAGGATGACCGCTCTAGGCCGGAAGACCGCTCTACGAACAGCGGGTGCCATTCACCTCCACGGTGCGTCACGCACCGGTCCTCCAGTGTGTCGTACAGCACCAGGAAGAGATGCGGACCACGTGGTGCAGTGAAGATTCGGTGGAGGCTGTGGTGAGGCGGGCGACACCAAAAGTGGTCACGTGAAGGATTGAAGATTCAAGTGTATATAGAGGAGATGGCGCTCAAAAATGTTTTAAAGGAGCATTCGAGCATGGGGTGGGGAGAACCAGGGTGTTCATTCTTCCAACCACTTGGAGTGCATGTGCAGGATCCAACTGCAAGGGACCTCCACCAGCATCTTCGCTCGAGTCACCAACCCCCAGGTGGGGGAACTGGAGGGCTGAAAGGGAGAGACAACAGCTTTGGGAAAGGGATGCGATCTTGTTGACAAGAAACATCAAGAAACATTGACTTTTTTTGATCAGGTGGAAATCGAAACATATGAAGTGGAAATAGAATGAACTAGACGATATGATATATTACACGCTACTAGGAACAGGTGCATCGCTAGTAGTAACAGGTGCCTTACTAGTAGTAACAAGAAGCTACTAGTAACAAGTGCTTCAACATTCAGCAACGATGTCCGCCTTGCCTACTGACGTCTGTCGGTTGGATCCGCTGTCGCCGATGTTCTGTCGGCTCGGCCGTGGCCGTCGGCAACCAGTAAAGGAGTACTGGTACTCAAGGCAACCAGTACTGACTGGTACTCATAGTACAGGGCCCATTGTTTATATATTATTTACTGGCCAGAAAGATCATAGCGGGGATGCAAAAGCCCATCCGGGAAGAATCAGCCCTCCACCAATGACATTATACTTCTCCACATGTTTTTCCCCAAACATCACGAAAACAGCTCCGTGCTGCTTCAGTTCCAGGCGCAAGTGCTACGGCAAGAGCTTCGTGATGCGACCACTGGACAACTCCCGGAGGATGTCTCGCCCAACGCGGTGGTCCAGGTGGTCGAACCCGATGGCGGTGTCGAACCCACTGGGGAATCGGAATAGCAAAAGTGGCTGCCCGTAGATGTGAATCTATGTGTTGGTGTTGTTTTTTGGCCACCTTCAATCAGACATGCTGCTGATGTCCTCAACAGAGAGTGCCAAGTCTTTGAGCATGGAGACACCACTGGGTGGCCACTATGCTGCGAGGTGAGCATTGTGGTTGATCCAGCACAACTGGGATCCTTGTCAAACGGCGGAAGAACTGGTGGAGAGAATGGTCGGACGTACTGGTTGAATACGTTGAGAGTCGGATTTGAGCGACAACATTGACACGTGCACATTGACACGTATAGCGTGAGAAGATTGGACTTCCGTAGTGGGCGGAAGCAACTGAGTTTGGACCTTGTTGTTCAAGCACATCCAAGATCCACCCCAGCTCCAGCAAGAGACAGTCCACAGATATGACCCGGCTTCGGCTCGGGCAAGGTGTGTGACACGCTTGTAATTATTGTTGGACGGACAACAACTATCACCAACTGATCAACAACCAACAACGATAGTCATTCGATTCTCACGGATTGTTCTGCTCAGACCAAAGAGGGAGAATTGCCGCACTCATTAAGGTGCGGTGCATCAGATCTCATGTATTTGCCACATCCTTGCCATGCTCACCAAGGAGCCACCGCACCAGCTCCCTACGTGGTGGAGGTCGTGCTAGGCCCGCCTTGTGCTCGCTGACCTTGCATGCAGTTAATGACTTGCTGTTTAGGAGTGGACACCGTGGACACCTGGCGAATTGACTTTATAGTTGATATCATCGAACTATATGTGTCACAATTGCTTTCACTCCAATGTTCCAAGATAGTTTTGAGATGTTAGACGTCTTTGAGGTTAAGCTGGTGATCCAACATGACCCAAACACCCAAATCTCTTTTCAACAGCACACACACATTTTGTTGTATCTGTTGTATCCAAGACATAATCAAGCATCCCTTTCAACCACCGATAAGATTCCAACCGCCCCCCTCAGGTGTCGTTTTCTCCCACGCAGATCAATTGGCTGTTATATGTTCAACCATTTTACCATACTGCACCTTCTTCGCGCCTGTCTCTCCAACCAACTCCCACTCACCAACCGTGTCGCACTCTACCGCCATCGCGGTGGCGACCATCGGGAGTTCGGTTCCGGAAGCGGCGAGACCCGTCGGGCGAGGCGTCTTGGACGTTCGCGTGGAGAGCCACAGCTTTCCCGCGCTCGTCGAGGACGACACGACGGACACAGAGAGTGGGGACTCAGCCAGCCTGGTGCTTTCAGTGCCTGTGGGTCTCACTGTCCCTTGGGCAGCAAACAAGGGGCGGAACATGAAGGCAAGAGGTCTTTCAAAGAGCCATCGCCACTGCGCAAATGTCCAAAAAAGAAGGTTGGACAATCATGACATATTAATAATAGTTAATCATATATCACGAAAGGTAGCCCTTTAGGGGATACCTTGAGTTTGTCTTGCGAAGCAAGTGTTGGCGCGTCCGGGTCGAATAATTGATCACTCAATTCAACACCCCCCCCCTCGAATTGATTTCTCAATACAGACCCCCCCCTTGGAATTGATTTTTCAATACAGACCCCTCCCCCCCTCCCCCCCCACAAAATCAATTCTCTCCTGGAGAACGTCTTCGTGAGCCTCTCATGATTTCAGGATAGTTGAAACCCTCTTGAACATTCAGAAAGAGTGCATATGAAATTCTAATCACGAAAGGTGTTCCCCGAGGGGATACGTACCTAGAGTTCGTTTTGTGAAGCACGTCAATTCTCTCCTGGGGAACGTCTTCGTGAGCCTCTTATGGTTTCAGGATCATTCAAATCCTATGATGCTTCGATTCAATTCCGATTCAATGCTTACCGATGATCTGAGCCATGGGGCAAGTTTGTTTTCCTAAGAATCTTTTTGAACATTTCGAGAGCATATGTTTGAACATTTAGAGTGCATATGAAATTATATTTACGAAAGGTCGCCTCCGAGGGGTCCGAGGGGATAAATCACCATGTCGAACATTGCGTTTTTGTTCCTGCCTCTCGCGTTCTTTTCTCTTCCCGCTGTCCTACCTTTCGTGTCTCCCTCCTATATTTGGTCATGAGTCATGAGATCTAAATCATGATAGATCCATTCTCATGGCATGTGGATTGAGTATGTCCGTGGTTGCCAGATGCTGCAGGACTTCATGCAGAAACCGTGTGTCAGATCATGCTGATCTATCCAATAGACCCATCCATGCTAGTGTGTGTGTGTGTGAATCTCACACGGGAATCCACTTGATTGCAGATATTGGGCCACTTGCCCTGCCTCAATTGCTCCACACTTCCCGACATTGACTCTCATACTATCTGGAGAGGTCTCATAAAACACCACTCTTTGAGTTCGTCACTCCTGAGACTTCTCATTGATCATCGGGTGCAATCCTTGGAATCCCAGCGGGTGCAATCCTTGACTCATCCCAGCCGTCGGCGGCCATCGACTCGGCGGCCGGCTACTTCCTCGCCATCGCAGGCCTCGGAGCTGAACTTCCTCTTGGGGCCTCACCAGCAGCAGGCCACCTTGAGCAGTTCCGAAGCCGCCCCACAGCAGGAGGGCGAGACCGTCCCCAGGCGCAGCCTGCGTGGCCGTGGCAACGTCCATTTTTTGGTTCGTTTTGGATTGGTTTGAGCGCACGAAGCTTCGGTCGTCGTGCGTGGTGGGAAGTGTCCGGTGTGTTCTTTTTGTTGAGAGAATTCTATCGCCTCATTGTCCAGGTGTGGATTATTTGGTCGTTTTAGCCGCACTTCACCAGCATCCTGACACAACATCATGGAAGGTGGAACGTTCAGCTGGACATTGTGTGAGGATGTAAGACTTTGTAGGAGTCTTCCTGCCTGCCAGGATCTTGCTCACCTTCGATTTCGCCAGCCTTGTTGGAATGGGTGACGGGCTTCTGGGGCTGGAATCTGAAAAGCGCACGAAGAAGAAGAAGAAGAAGAAGAGTTCGGAGCCGCATTCTAGTCACCTCCCCCGGACCATCCATGGGACTGGAAGAGTTACGACCGCATGGATGGGTCATAAAACGGATGGTAAATGGTGTAAATGAGGTAAATGAATGAGTAACTTATCATTTTCATGAGGTAAATACATGCAAATACAATGTACTGTAACTCTTCCAGTCCCATTCGTTTGTTCTGGGTCTTTCTGGCAAAGGTCTGACCGCCACGTTCCAGTGGTTCCCCAAGCGTCACTCGGGTGGTTCGCCCAGGTCTTGCCTTGGCCGGTTTGGGGTTTCCTTCCGACTCATCGCTGCTTGCATGTCTTCACAAAATTGTTTAAATTGGAAATCCACTCCAGTCGGTGGATTCTGAAGATATGTTTCGAACCCAGATCCTGGCTCAATGGAGATGAGTCGTTGCTTTTTGGTTCAGACTTGTTGGAATGCCCCAAGTACAGCTCTACCAGTGGAAGCCCGACCGGATCCACGGATTAGGCTGCCGTTGATCATTCAAATCCAACCCGCTGCTGGGAGCAGCACCCGCGTGGTGAATATCTACACGCAGATCTCAGCGGCTTGATGCAATCAATGAATTGTACCAGAACCCTCTTGTCAGAACTCTCAGCGTTTTGAGGTCTGACTGCTTGAAAGTGAGGGACGGTCAGGGTCCTCTATGGGAAATGATCACAACATGACATGTTCACCCTTGGGGAGGACCAAACAAGCAAGAATTTGACATTGTGGTTTACACCAGCTCAATGTTTGTGATTCTCTTTTGTTTGAAACATCCTGCTGTGTTAAAACAGAAAGAACACACAGTTTGCAGAGCTCTCCCCAACTATGCGTTCATCAAGCAAGTGCCACTCCTGTCACTTGATGGACAAGATTGAAATTATGCAGGAGCAGTAGGTACCAGGCGTGGGGTGTCCTCGAATTAGTAGTATGGTAGTGGTAGCAGTAGAGGTAGAAGTAGAAGTAGTGGTGGTTGTGGTGGTGGTAATATATAGTAGGAGGAGGAGGAGGAGGAGGAATAGCAGTAGAAGCAGCAGGAGCGAGAGTAGTAGTTTGAGTACTTAGACTCGTGCAAAACGCTGGAACCGAAGCGTAGTAGTCGCAGTCGTAGTCCCTACAGTCGGCTGGTCGCCCTACCGAGGTCAGCTTTGCTGCTCCCACAGTGATCACTGTGGTCGCTAGGCGTTTTGTTTTCGCTTCACAGGTGGAGTCGCGTTGATCTTCCAACGGCTGTGCAGCTGCGGGTGAATCAATTCTTGGAAGATCTTCCATTTATCGGTTATTTATTAATTATACAAAAACTTGATGAAGGGGAAGTGTGAGTTGCTTGTGCTATTGATACAGGGTGACTTGGGGGTGTATTGTTTTCAAGACACATGGACATCCCTAGAACCATCAAGAACCAATTGACTCCATGTTGATTTTACAACCACTGACCATGTACTCGTAGTCATTGGACTTATTTTCTACATAGAAAAAACATGGCCTGGGGCTGAACTACGCATTGCGAACTGGGATCATCCAAAGGTGGGTCCGACAAAGAACCTTTGGATCGAAAGAGACACAGAGTTTGGGATCTGGACACTAGTATAGCGATGCCCTTGCTCCTAGTAGCAATGCCAAAAAATGTTAAAAAGGAGGTACGGTATCGTACTTTGTTTGGAGGAATATCCGTTTTACAGTGTACGGTTCTTACTCACTGAGCACTGAATTTCGCCTGCGACTCAATGTGACAACCGTTCTTTGAAGAAACAGAGCATGCAAACCAGGTGTGTTAGACCTGGTGACCTGCGACGACAGGTGAACCCCGCTTCGCCTCGGTGCGGAAGCATCCGTAGCACCCGAGGGGACGCGCAGGGTGGGGACGCGACACCGAAGCTCCGAGGAGACGACGCAAGTGAACAACCTGGTGTCTTTGACAGAGATCACCTTTGTGACCATCACAGGGAAGCTTGGCACAGATGGGAGGGCGGGGGACTGCGAATTCCCGTGCGCTCGGAGTTGTTCAGAATGGCGCATCCACCGGAAAATGGACCGAAACGAGTCCATTCAATGGAGGATTGTTCATGGGACCAAAGCGGACCAAAGACCGTTTAGTTCTTTTGATTTGCCCGATGCTGGAGATGGGCTAGAGCACTGCTGGCATGCTTTTTTTTGCAGGATATTATTCCAATGGCTCTGTAGCGTCATGTAGCGTCGTATCTCTTCAGCCAGCACAAGCTTTGCACATCTTTGCACTATACTTTTTGGCTGCTTCCCCTGGAAGATATTAGTTTAATACGCTTGCGTTGCATTATATACAAAAGCCCCCCACGATTAACTGGTTTTACCAATAAGCAGCGATTGTTTGCAAGATCTAAACATGACATCAATGTGATACATGTTCTTCTCAGAGTACGCCTTCTATACACTGAATAAAGGGAACAAATTCTCACCCCGTGCAGGGCCAACTTGGCGCTGGCGGATGAGCCTTTGCAGCTGAACGCCGAGATCTTCATCGCCAGCATCCCCCCCACCTGTGACGACTCCGCCGCCTTGTGGCATCCGCCGGTGAAAAAGCGATGGGTTTTTTTTCTGCGACGGAATTTCAGAGGTGATGGTGGATCCATCGATCGTGGGTGATCTATTTGGGAAATAGGACAGTGATCACAGAGACGTGCGTTAAAAAGGGTGTATATATATATATATATTTGGCTGGCAAACGGCAAACCTGGCTTGAAAAGAATCGGTGGTATTTCGGTTCTTGGAAGAACCTGGCAGGCAGCTCAGATCGTTTTCCTTTGGGGAATTCTGGCCATGATGAGGAACTCGTGCTACGCTTTTAGAATCTTTTAGATGGTTTGCTTCGTGTGATGACCCAGGAATGCCGCGCGGCCGAGCTGCAGCGTTTGGTCAGCGACGGTCTTGGAGAGAACTTGTGTCAGAGCACAGCAGCTTGCACTGAGAAGAAAGAGACCTCGAGACATTCAGATCAAAAACGGTCTTCATTTGGCCCAAATATTGGACCCCTTATTCATGCATTGTCCAATTGCATGAGAAGACTACGAACACTCGAGTAAAGTTTCAGGAAAAGGATGTCTTCCACTCACCTGCAGCTTTTCCATTTGCATCGGCAGGTCCAGGTTGTGACTTTGCAAGCGGTGAGAAAGCGACGTTCTCGTTTCAAAAGTGACAGATAAGTTAAGGATGATGAGTTGTCCACCCCGAGGTCGTTCCTGATTGTTTTGTGTTGTTTGAAACACCACCAATGAGCACCACCACCACCACCACCACCACCACCACCACCACCACAAACCTTAAGACTCAAAACTTAACATCGCCCTCGTCATCGTGCGTCCTTATCACTGTCATGAACAACAAAAACAGCTGATGTTGACAACGACCCTGACCTCACAGTATCTCTGTTCAGCCATCCACTCTCAGGTTGTTCTCTCTACCACAAGCTTGAGCTGCAATGTGGCACCATCAGGCGTTCGGTTTCGACTTTCAGCAGGGCTGGCCTCTTTTAAGCTTGCTCAACGAACACACGAGTCATCCAGAAAAACTGGTGGATCGGATGGTTAACGGTTTTATGATTTGTTCATCCTGTCGAACGGTGTCCGTTGGTTTTCCGTTGGTGGTTGAACAGATCGGTTCTGTTCGGCAGGCTCTAGTCGGCTCTAGTAATTTGCATGCACCATATGACTTGTTTTTGTCAAGTGGTTTCAGATTCTTGTTCATATGGTTTCCCTGTATATAGTTGGACTTAAAGTCTATTTGCTGAGGTTCATTTGTTTTGCAGACCATTGAATTTTAGACCGTTGAAGTCTTAAATCTTGTGGCGCTGTCTAATAGTACGCGAGTGAGGATAGTTCCAATGCGAAACGTGCTGGGCACACACGGAGGTTACCCATCACAGCTCATCCCAAGATCAGTGTCGTTGTAAATCTTCAATTTCTCCGTTTGCCTCCGTCACCACTCGACTTGAGATCAGGCAGGCACATCCAATGTGGGAATGACTCAAACCGTGGCCCCTGGAAGAAGCTCAGTTGCTGACGACATGGTAGCATGGCATGGCCACCCAAAACAAATTTGAGACATGCACCGTGTGGACGATTGTATTGTTCCCGTGTTCTTCCCACTTCAAGTGCCTCCCGTGCGCCCACCTTCAGCGCCACGCCGTGCTCCGCCGTGCTCAGCAAGCGCCTCCTTGGGCCTTTGCCTGGTGCTCCGGGGCGGCCTCTTCTCGTCCCTTCGGTCGAACGGTCCGGGAGACGGGGTTGAGTGAGGTGAACAGGGTCAACAGGGTCAGGGATTGAGACTTTACGATAGTTTACGATTTATTGGCCCAAAATAGGATAGTGTGTTAATACCCGTTAACCTTTTGGAGGTGCTTGATGGCACTCCAAATGTTTTGGGCATAGGAAACCATCGGAAAAAGATCCACGTGTTTTAGGATGGTATGGCGGTGGTGGTCCACAGAAGAGACGATCCATCAAACCTGACAGTGCCATGCACCCTGTGACCATCGGATGCATAGCTATGGCTCAAAAAAAGGTGCCATCCAAGGCCATTGGCAGAATGACAAGTACAAGGTGCGGTGTTCATCGGTTTCCTGGTCGGTACATGTTGGTACTTTGATCGACGTTGATCATGACATGGGAGATTGGTGTGGGTCAGAGCATGTCAGAACCAACCACCTCAAAATCGAATAATTTGGTGAATCTACCTGGTCGCCTAACTCTCTTTGTGCCAGAAGCTAGGTGCCCATTAGCCAATGTGTTAACAATCTGCCAATTGTCCTTTTGCCGTTGGGGTCATCTACTGTAAAGGGTCCACTTGATAACTACCTTCTGGCAAGTTGTTTTGTGGGTGATGTTGGGTGTGCATTTGAATACGGAGGCCCCCCAAAGCCACCGGTCAAGAGAAAAGGACGCGGCATGGTCACCCCCCCCTTGTTACTGTAGGTGGTCTCCCTACGGTAAAAGTCACATACCCAAATCGGGGGCAATACAAATCTTCACTAAGGAACTACTATTGCGCTGCCACTTTCCCTGAAGCTCTTCAGCCTCAGCAAGTGACGGTCACAGGCTCTGGTGGTGAGAGTGAGCCGATTTGCCCAACGATTTGCGCAAGTCAGGAAGTTCTCAAGAGAAGCAGGACAGTTATCTCAAGTTGGGGTCGGCAAGGATTTAGGTTCCAGGCTATCATCACAGTTGTTGTAGTGGTGAGTCAGAGAGTTTAAAGTCATGTTCACTCTTCCTCAAAATGCACGCTCAGCCCATTGCTGGACCGTCGAAGCCAGTGATTTGGCCACACAGAGATGTCAATAGGACATAGGGTTTGTCCTTTACCTGTAACCGTAGTTTATACAATTTCATACATATACACATGATAGGGGACCCAGCTTGGCAGGGTTTTCATCCACATCCCTCAGTTCCAGGTGTCAACACCCCGGAGCAGGAAGCCTCCTCACCCGAGCCCATCATCGTGACGGTCGGTGGCCGGGCGACACTATTCGAGTGCGATCGGCCGTGAACAAGGTTTCCATGTTGCTTCCTTGTTTTAACATCAAAAGCACGATCCTGATCACGAGACATGTTTGTCATGTGTGCTGTCTTCTTGCTTATCAGATCTCTGCGACTCTGCGACAGTTGCAACCATAACACTACATAAAGTTAATACAAGACTAAGAGGTTGATACCTAGAAACAAGCCTTTGTGCTACACCCCTTCCTGTCTACATATAAAGAGAACACACATCAACATACTGCTTCTTCTGGAGAAGCGAAATAGGGAACAACTCTCCTGACATGTCCCAACTTTGTTTGACTGGCTGAAGTCGAACCCCCCTGAAATCACCACCTGCGATCCGCCAGTTACCCCGCACCGGCAGTCAACTCAAGCTTAAGCATTGATATCACTGTGTTGGAAAGCAATCCTTTGACCTGATCTCAATGCAGCTGCATGGCCAAAGCCAAAGCTGACTGGAAGAAAAGCACACAATCAGAGCTTCAACAACTCTCGGCAGCTTTCAAGGACAGACTCCGACACTATGTTTCTGTTTTTTGGGGAGCTGGCTGGTTCAGATGTAGATACACAGATTTAGCATGGTTTAGCAAAGCTCCCAAGGTCGCACCAATGTCACACAGATGGCAACGAAATCAGATGATTTGTCTTCACTTGTTTTTGCTGTGACCCTAGCTTTGGGTGAGAGTGAGATCTGTTGCAGCAATGCATTCGTTGGTACGACTTAACCCAGGAGACTAAACTGAAGACTTCGAAACCTCGAACGCTTGCTTACGTCGGTGGTTCCCGTTCGTTCGGGACCCTCCTTGACCACTTTCCTCGACCTGTTGACCACCGCAGAGAGTGACACAATCATTCCCAGACAGTTTATCTATGGCATGTTTACCTACATTGGGGTGATTTCAGGGTGAAGATCAACCAAAGGAACAAAAGCCCGCTCTTTGGCATCCTTTGGCCAAAGGATTGCGGGTGTCCCCAGCCGCCGAGGGTTGAGACTCATGTGCCCGCCTGCAATTGGGCTGAAGACTGTCTTTCCTGCATATTTTGGCAGGAAAGCGGTGAGCTAGAAAACCTGGCTCGCGCCGTAGACCTTGACAAGCAGCACACAGAGCAGAAGTTGGAGTCGATTCGTCATGAGAACCATCAATTGCAAACACAGCTGGAAGAACTTAAGCACCTTGACCAGATCGAAGTGTCGCGAGACTGGAATGGAGTTCATGTTCCAAGAGGATTCACTTCTGGATGTGTATCTTTTCACCGGAGACCCTTTGGAAGGGGATTCACTTGTGTCTCGTTGTACTTCAGCGTTCGCCCAAGTGGTCCAACTGAGCTCGTTGTACTTCAGCTGGCATCGCATGAAAGCACCCGCCAGAGTGCAGAATTGTGTATTCCTTGGGGGGTTGTCCCAGTAAACCTGTGAGAGTCGGTCGGAAAACAACTATTTTACCCTAAGAATCATTGGACCCGACCACTTCTGGAGGGTTTGGACCCTGCAGAACGCAGGGGTTTGGACCCGAACCAAACCTTCACCTTTGAGGGTCCTTGATTCTTAGGGTAGAGATGTCGGCCTGCAACTGAACCTATATGATAGACCCCAATGTATTCCCTATAGTTTGTGAGGCTACGGATGGCTAAGACGTAGGTTGGGAGATGTTGGGAGGGTCTTCAAGCCTGGGCAAGTGCATGTTCCAATGCACCAGATTCATCCACAAGTCTTCAAGCATAGTTCATAGTTGAATGTAGTTGATCTCCCTGTAACATTCACAGAATACTCAGTTTCGATTGCTTTCTTAATGAAACCAGTGCTGCCAAATAGACCTATATAAGTTTAAATAGGATACAGAGCAATGTGAAATCATGTTGGGCAATGACTCAAGACTCGACTACGCAGAAGCTGATGTTTGAGCTATTTTTCTTCACCACGCAGACCAGGGTAGAACTTTTGGAACTCCACCGGCAAGAACCATCCATCCATCCACCGAGGACCGAGCGAGCAGCCTTGCGGGCGCAGCTGGATGCAGAGAAGCAGCAGCGCCAGTCCTGGCTCACCGAGAGCAGCGCGATGATGAAAGAGGCAGACCGTGGTGACCTACCCTGCCCGCCTGCGGACGCCGCGGACGGAACGACTGGATGTGAGGAGGTGTTTGGTGATGCGGACTGGTGGTTGGAATGGTTTGGTGGAGGGTTGGGATGGTGGTTGGAGCTTAGACTTTAAAACGACCGTGTCTGCTTAGGGCTGATGTGCCGGTGCCCGGCCAACTCCACCACGTGGGGATTGTGAATGGACACCTCGGATCTCTTGCAAGTGATGTTGACATATTTTGAGCATCCGTTGTTAGCGAGAACATGTTTCGACTCGATTCAGAGGCATTTCGTCTTCGGGCACCACGACTCACTCCAATTCAGTCCAATTCATCACGACTCACCCATGACACTTGGCGACTCCAATTCATTCGCAAAACATCTGTGAATTCCCTTCTGTTGGAGCAGTTTCACAGCGGGGAGGCCACTTGAGATGTACTTCAACTCTCCCGCTCTGACTTGCTGGGTTTATGACTTCATGCTTGGGTTTCTTCTGGGCCATCGAAACCCATTGTTTTGGCTGTGAAAACTCGCGGAAACGAGCCCACGACCGACGCGGAAGCTTCCTCGGGTACGCCCACGACAGGTGCAGATGCTGCGACAGCGTCTTCGCAACTCGCAGGAAGAGAGTGGCCGTTGGAAATCGGAATCGAAGAACATCGAGGAGGAGTTCAAGGTCGGGGTCTGGGACTCATGAAACTGAATGAGGGTGAGGGTCTGGGTCACAGACATCGGATAGCCATCGGACTCTCCTTTGAGTGCTTTTCACCTTCCAGGAATCTTGGAATACATTGAACCAATCCGGGGATTGGTGCCGGACGGGACCCTCAACGCCCTTTGCAGAACGCCCGATTTCAGGCTCTTCAGCAGCAGCAAAAGGATGAGGAGCAGAAACAGCAGGCTGGTGATGCGCGCCGATCATCTACACAATCGTCACAAAATAAAGGTCGGGGATTTGCAAGCTAAAAGCATTACATACTTCCTTGCAAACCACCCCAAGCAATGGTTGGTCCAGTTCTTGCGTCTTAAACCTATATGTACTACGCCAGCACTTGGGATTTGAACGAGACTATAAGGCTCGAGTCTGGTGAAGGGAGGATAGAAATCTCTGACCATGCGCCTGGCGAACAGTATCTCATTTTTCCACAGCACCTGTGCCAGAGCTGGAGTGGGTAGTGCGGTACGGTCTAGTGCGGTAGATGAAACGGGTTCACTTGATCACCGTCAAAATTACATGGAGGATGATCCAAGGATTGACATCCTCCATAGCCTGCTACGTAAAGGACCAGGTGAGCCGTATATAATGCTACATTATACGTTGGTGATTGCGGATGATTTCCATCCACTGGTTGAGCACTTTCCTTACCAAGCCTGGCTGGATCTTTTTCATGTCCAAAACCACTGTTTGGTGACCAAGTGCAGGTCCCAGACCAACCGCCAAGGCCCCTGTTTTCGCCGGACTGCTCGTTTGCTCAGTCTCGATGCTCCATCCACAGAGGCCCTCCAAGAGAAGGTGGCACGTGGGCGAGAGGCACTCGAAACCGAGCGTTTGGCGTTGTCTCAGCTGCAGCAGAGCAATCGCTCCAAAGAAGCAGAGTCAGGTGGGGACGGTTCATGGAGAAGCTATATCCATGTTGCTGCTTGGTATTTGGGCAAGTACTAAGTAGTGATAACCGCTCGAATTGTTCAAGACCAGATTGAACGTGGAAATGTTGCTGCAAGCTGGTGTAGGATTTGGCGTGTCTCAATCTTGGAGAGACCCATTCATTGCCCAATGGTTCTTGGTGCAACTTTCCTTCACCATGGCTTTGTAGAGGTTTGTTTTAATGTGATATGTAATGACAGGAAGGATTGCACGGCATCACTATGTAATAATTACATATACTGTACCTGGTTTTCACAGTTTTCTTGGGTTGAGGACACTCCCTATGTGACACCCCATTCGTGGACTCCAGGCAGCCTTGAGCGTGAACGGCAGCGTTTGGCCGCCGAAGTGGCTCGAGTGTTTCAGGAAGGAAAGAAATTGGAACAGACGCCTGGATCGAGTCAGTGAAGCAATTGCGTTTTATTTTTTGGAATCTGGATTCCGATGGAATCAGATGGAGTTTGGAGGATTTGTTCTGTGGCCAGGGAACTCATGGGGTAAAATCTTTTGGTGTCTCAGGCGACCAATCTCTTGCTTTGGTGGAATCAACCCATTGCCTAATGATTTATAATGGAAAGGGAGGTGAAAGTTGAACAGATGTAGAGTATGATCTTATGATATGTTCTGTTAGTGTATAAGGTCGTTACATTATACAACGCCACTATCCATATTGTGTCGCTATGATATCATGGTTCATATTGATATCAGTTCCTTGTGTCGCTAGTTGTTGGCTTCGACAGGTGATATAACATCCTAGGATTTGCATAGCTTAGTACTTTGACTTCCCCTCAAAAGGATAGCCAAAAATTTAGAAGGACAATTAAAAGATCCACCGAGAATCAAGCAGCATGGTAAGGCCCAAATCCTCCCTCGGTGTTCTCCCAAATCCCTCGGCCGAGGCAGATTGGGCGCCAGGGCACTTCAACGGCCGCACTACAAAGTCGTTTGAAGGCGCTGCAGCAGGAGGTCCATCGCTGGAAAGGTCGCGCCAAGCAACAGGATGCCGAGGCCTGCGCTCTGCGGCAGAAGCTGAAGGAGATGGAGGCAGCCAAAGGGCACACAGGGGCCCCTGCGACGGCGACGGAGACGGCCACAGAGGGGGCGAAGGATCACGTGAGTGGGCAGAAGATAGAGAAGCTTGGGGAAGATGTGGCAGAGTGTTGTTTTCTTTTGGTGAGAAGTGTTTGATTGGTGAGAAGCAGTAAGCCAGCGCAAGGGATGTGTTTTTCGGGATTGTCTTGGTGCTGTGAGTTTGGAGAGGTGCTCCTGATATACTGTATATTAAATATGTATATATAATATATATATATATATTATATATATATATTATAGGGTATGTATACCGGACCAGTTCTATGTTTTGTTTATGTAACGGTTTATAACTGGAAGTCTTTTGCTTGGCCAGCAGCCTCTTGGTGTGGTGAGGCAGGAGCCCCGAACTCTTCCAGAGCGAGGCCCAGCGAGATCCAGCGAGATCGTGAAGCCCGAGGAGGCCGAGGCGCAGGAGGACAAGGAAGCAGAGACGAGTGCCGTGGAGTCCAAGGGCAGAAAAGAGTCAGTACCAGGTCATGTGCCAGCTGCAACTGTGGCAGATGTGCCAGATGTGCCAGGTGTGCCTGTGCACGAGTCTGGTGCAGACGAGGTTGACGATTTGGAGGCGAAGGAGGTGGTGGTTGAAGAGTTGGATTTAGAGGAGCTTGGGATTCTGGGATCAGACGAAGGTGAAGATGAGGGGTCAGCCGATGGCCTGGAGGAGCTTGGCATCTTGGATGAGGAGGACTGGGGCTTGGATGAGCTGGGCTTGGAGGCTTTGGAGAAGCAAAAAAGCGAGGAGGCGGAGGAACTGGGCTTGGAGCCTTCCTCTCAAGAGGATTTGAATGCGCTTGGCGTAGAGCAGAGTAAGGAAATGGAGGCCTTTTGAAGCCTTTGGAATCGTTAAGCAGCTTGGAACACCTCCAGTCCAGGAAGTGTTGGAATGAAGTGAGGTTAATTGGCAATCAATAAACGTTGACTATCGTTGACGGAACGTTTGAAATGCTGTCTCTAGATGCCTTTAGTGAAGTTTCAATTTCAGCCATTGTGAGCAAAAACAGCTATATATAATAGCTATTGGTGATGGAAGAATCCTGCACCAACTCACACAGCCACGAATCCGGGGCAGCGGTGTTGCGTCCCATCATAGCTGGTGCAGGGTGTTTTTCCTTCAGCTACTCATGGAGACTGGAGACCGCCTCCTTAGGCCGTTGCGACGAATAGAGCGGCGATTGGTCAACGAGGATTCACGTTTCACTGCGACCAACCTCGGTCACGTTTCCACGTCGCTGAGTTCCGCGTTCGGCCGAAGTGGCGAGACAAAACGGTGTCCGAAAAGTTGAACATCACAGTGTCTATCAGTGTCTACATAACAGGTCATACCGTCGTACCAGCGAAGCATTTGCGTACAGTGGGAACTGGAGCCCAGTGGCAACTAGGCACCTGTTTGATTTCTCAAAGATGAGGCGGTGCGGCCATTTGAATGGGGTTGATAGTAGGTGATGTGTATGTGTATATATATATATATATACATTAGGGGACCCTCGACGTGGCCCATAGATCTTTTTGGACGAAGGCTGCATCTTTGGAAGATAGGTGGGGGAAGTTACAAATCCCTATTTGCTCGAGAATTGTGAATGCTGAACCATCCTGAATGGCATTGACACTGACAGCTTCTTAGTTTGTTACAGAAGCATGCAACTGCGGCTATATTGGGTACACTCGAAACATCTTGAAACTATAGTTGACCTGTTACTATTATATTATATACAACCATACAGTAATTTCATCGTTTTAAATGGCGTTTGGAGGCAACACCGAACACCGCTGTGAGAAGACACCCGGCCTTCATGACCTTCTACGGTTTTAAACCGTGACCGAGGAAGCGACATCCCTCCGGAGTCTGTGACACAAGGCTTTTTGCAGGCCGAGCGAGCGGGAGCGCGCCGCGGGACCACAGGAGCTTCGCACCAGGAGCTTCGCACCAGAAGTCCGAGAGGAAACCCGACCTTGCGAAGACCGTTTCTTTTTCCAGTGCGCGCTTCACTCGCGGTCTCCAATGGACAGACCGCGGTCTCCAACGTTCAGGGTGAGATCTTTGAAGGTATAGTAATTGTATGACTTCCATGAACTGACATTAGATCTAACAACTTGTGCTTGAGACATCATTGGTTGAAGTTGGCATGAATTCTACATAATTTAACAAAACCGCCATGTTACAAGATCGTCCTTCGTGTGGAACTCATTGAATCTGCCACACGCAGGTCTGGGTCTCACCCTTCGACGAGCCAGCGGAAGATTTTGCCGATCCCGGTCCCGGGTACTTTCCCTTGTGTGCGGACGTGGCTTGGTCAAACACCCAGTAGCGCCATCGGCGGGCTACTCAGAAGCAAGGTCGCGTCAAGGTTCTCAGTCAACCGGTTTTTGTTTTGAAACGAGTCTTTGAAACAAGACCCAGTTTTGATCGACCCGGTGTCTCACTGGTTGACCAACGTTGAGCCCGGATCATGTAAGAACGTGCAAGTGGGCAAAGTGTGTTGCGTATTGTTTCGTTGGGTTGTCTCACCACACGGTGATTTCCCAGTCACAATCCTCACCTAAAAAGCAGATCAATCCCATGAGTTGGAAGATATAGACCTTTGATGACATGTGTCATGTCAAGAAGCGCGACACACACACACACACACACACGCACGCACCCCACCCGAACTGCCTTTTTGGAACTCGACCCGCATGCCAAGGCCGTGGTCTTGGAGGATCGGAGGAGCATTGAGTGCTACCGGAACCAAGACTTGAAGCCTGGAGAAGAAGCGGAATGCCTATATGATTCAATAGTCGTATTCAATACAATAAAACAATAATAATCATTAATAATGATATTGTGATTTGGGAGGGTCCATATTTGCCATGTCGCTTATTCATATGCATTTTCTCGCTGTGTGTGTGTGTTTGATCTGTTTCCCCACATGGTTTTTCTTCCTCCTCTCGCTTCCGGTTAAGGATGTTTTCCCACATGTTGTCCCGGCTTCGAAGCAAAATCCCAGGAACATCTCCGAGTTGGGGACCGATCTGAACGTCTATGTCGCTTGGAGAAATCCGGGAGAAGTGCTTGTAGGATGTACTGGAAGGAGTAGGAAGGATCTGCGAGGTTGAGGTTGGGGTGACCGGCCACACTCATCGCAACTGCGATTTTGAGGTCCAAATGTCGGGGTCCTTTTGTCATGCTGTCAATGCTGTCCACTTATGAAGTGTCAATGACCTATAGACGTTCAAAGGTTTTGTGTTTGCTAGTATCCTCGCCAGGTCGGCTCATTTGACCAGAGTTCCTCGCATCCAGACACCCACACCCTCGAGGCCCTCGTCGTACGTCATAAATCGCCCCGTACGTAGTACATCGGATCGCCCAACTGAAGCAATGGGTCTGGTCCGTTCCTGAGGTCCAAACGGGGCAATACCAAACCTCCTCCAATGTGCTCGAGGGCGCCATCCAGCTTCTCCTACCTGAGATCATCAGGCAGGGGGGATTCTGGGGTCCGACGGCGCACATCCTGCATTTTGATGTGATCCACCGATCCACGTCTATCAAAATAGGAGACTATGACATCTCCCAGACCATCCATGCTGGAGTCCATCTTAGCTTCATGAACTTTTGAAGGAATCATGTGTGCCAACTTTTGCTGGAGATCGGTCACATGGGAAGCTGGAAGACTGTTGCAGTTCATCTCTAGTCAGTTGAAGCACTCCAGAAAACTATAGAATTGAAAGTGCTCAAGATCACCATGAACATTTAAACAAAGATGTATTTCGAGGTCACTGACGTGCACAAGACCTGACGAGAAGACAGTTTGAGGAACCAACAGAGGGATGGTCACTAGTGCAAGTTTGCAAGAAATCCAGTGGGAGTATGGCTCAGGAATTGCGAGGCAGGAAGTGAAGGACATGAAAAAGAGGTGCAATTTGTTTTATGTGCTTCTCAATTGGAAACAAACTGAAATGACAAGGTACTCCTTGTGGTCCTTTTCCTTTTGAAGTTCCTCCAAGGTAAGTAGAAGCAATTCAAAATGATGTGCTTTTAACTTGTGTCTCCTGTTTCAATTAAAAATCTATGTTCCTTTGCTGTTAAACAGAAGGAACCTCAGTGGTTCAGTTTTAACACCATGTTGAATTTGAAGTGATGCTGAACAACCTATTCAGCAATGGATGCTCAATCAAACGGAATTCTTATATATTCAAAAGGATATTTGTAAGCAAGTACTCAAAAGCACCAATAGATATTCACAGTATCCCCAGTATCCCCCATTGTACTATATGTCCATACTAGTCGCCATGTTTTCCGGTATATATTTAGCGTCCCACGGTTCCACATTAAAATTAGCAGTGGGTTCAACTAGTGAAGGTGGATGGACAATCTTTGGAGTTTATCTATGATCCATCCTCTCCTCTCGTACATCATCTGTAGCGGAAGCTGCACCCTCCCGGGGAAAATCTTGAGAACTAATTCCTCTAGCAGCCGACTTCCCCAGCTTTTCCAAGCAGATTCCAAAAGAGTGTGTTTCCCAACCCGCCCGAAATCCACCTTCTCAGTTCTTCTTCGATGTGCGTGCGACTGACGTGCTTCTTCCCCCCGGACCCCGGACCCCCGGTCGCCCCCGCTGCAGGGTGACCCGGAACCACGAGTACGAAGTGGGCGAGCTGATCGTGACCATCGACGGTCGGCACTTTGGCACCGCTGAGAATGGAAACATGGCACCTGGGCGAAAAGGAGGGCTACCGGCGACCGACTGAGGGCACGGAGGGGACCGGGGTTGGACTCCGAAATGGGGCGGGTTTTGGGGGGGTCGGAGCAGGGAGATCCCTGGGTGGTTCTGCTGGGTGACCTAGGTGACCTGAGATGGAACCGTTGGAAAAAATCTTTCCTTGGATGAAGAACACATTCCGGAAGGACCAGGACGCTGAGTCTTCCTTTTCAAAGACACACAGAATTGTGTCATGTTCCGCTGAGATGTTCTGCTTTGGGTGTGGGTGGGATGTGTGTTACAGTTGTCGGCATCATCTATCAATATAGTTGCGAGTAGAGGAGCTAGATGACGTGTGACGAAGGTGTAGAGTTTGTCTCAGAATAGAAACTCTTGTTGGATGCAGACCGGACCCATTTAACACTGCCAATGGTTGATACCGAGAGATTCAGTCGTAATTTGTTACATTTAAAGTTATAATATATAATTTGATAAAGTCCCGTATGAGAATGAAATCATCATACAAGTTCCACCCAATGCTCAAAGGACCAATAATAATACTATTTCAAAATAGTTCAATAGACAGTTTGCCTGGAAACGCCTTCTCTTGGGGTCTCAGTCTGTGAGAAAACGCCCAAAACAACTAGATATCAGGGATCCATCCTCCAATGTGGGTCAAGGGCGCTGCGCCACCGAGCTCTGTTCCGAGTCCACCGATCTCCGCCGCTCAGGTGGTCTCTGTCCAGAGCTTCGGCGCTTCGTCCCCCGTGGTCGAAGACCCCCGCTTGGCCGAAGGTTTCGGCGATCCCAGCCACTTGGGTAATGTTGTTTATTTCATGTTCAATCCATTTCATAGCCACTACCTGAACAATTTGTCCCGAGAGTGTTTCTCGCGTTTGCAGGAAGTAGTTGGAAGTTTTCTTGCAAACAACATGCAAGGAAAATACCATCCAATAACATAGTTTTTGCAAAAGTTGTGCGAATGTGAAACACGTGTTTCATGTCCTGGACAAAGAATTAATGTTTGTTTCCGTAGCAACTCCATATAGTCACCATATTGGTCAACTCTTGGATATTTATTTGCGTGTTATCCCGAAGGACAGGGTGATTTCAAAAGACACTGACATTTGATGGCATTGAGGTCATACTGTGAAGTATGGAATATCATGGGACTGAGGAAGTGTGGCAGTAGGCAGGGAAGAAGGATGGACGGGGTGGAGCTAAGAGGTGCTTCGAAGACTTCTGGGAGACGGTTCCAGCTCTCCCTGGGATAGTCTTGGCAATTGGTGGTGAGAAGGCATGGGTGTATCCTGTAGTTGGCATGAAAAGAATGATGGTCAGTGGTCACTTCAACGAGGAGATTGCTTCGACCCTGTGAGGAAGAGATGTGTTGAATTAGTTCGAGGATCCGTGTTGTTTGTGTTCATTATTGTTCATTTGTCGTGCCTGTGTTTGTTGACGAATCGCACCAGCATGGTTTGACATGTTTAGTGGAAACATCAGGAAGAATTGCCTGCGCCTGTTTACCAACAAGAATTACTTTTAGCTACAAGCTTCTGGGGCGCGTCTTAAAACAGGCATATCTGCACAGTCATGTTTCTTGCTGGTAGCCTTCCTTTCTGGGCATGTAAATACAACTGGTGGGTCTCAATGTTTGGGAGCAACGTATTCACTATACAGCCTCGAGTTCGCTTTTTTGGCTTATGAGTTTGAGTGGTGACATCCATTGGTTGCCATTAAGCATTGTTGATAGAAACAATGCCCGGCCTGCCCGGCCGTCAATGCCCGCAATTGCCTCACCAATGGATGTGAGGATTTCTACAAAAAAACATATGCACTCGTCAGGAGTCACAGCTTCAGCACAAGTCAGCAGTACTTCGTCAGATGTTTCGATCCCACTGACGTCAGCATCCCGCATATGCTTCGACGATGCTTTCGGGGAGTCGAAGGATTGAAGACACCAACGACTCCCCGCGCCGCGCGCTTGCGCCGCGCCCAGCGCCCAGGTTATACGGTGCAATGCGAAACCATCAGCCATACGGACATCCGTTCTGGCTGTCTTTTTTTTGGAGGGGTTTGCTTTTTGTATACACCGTGTGTTTCGTCGTTGTTCTGATTTTTAAGTGACTGTACTGTAGTTTTTTCTGTTGTATGTTTCTTTCTGAAGGGATTTGATGTCGTTTCATGAATTCCTGGCTTTACAAAACGACCTGGCACTTTTGGGGCCAGCCACTCAGGAGATGTTCTTTTTGGCAAGCTCAGTATGGACGAGATTTGCTTGATCTTTTGTCTGAAAGCAAGTCACCTAGTTGCTTTGGTCGAACTATATGTTGGTATGTATGATTGGGTTCAGACCCAGGCAGTGAGGAAAGACCCTGTCGTCCCGGACGCAGGACACGCAGATTGTCTCTAGATGCACTTCAACCCAAACCAACAGCATTTTGGGCGCCCAAGTGGAAGCAAGCCGCTTGGCTCAGGACCATCGTGCAGCGCGGACAGATCAGACACAAGAACGAACGCCGGTCAAACCCCCGACTTCGCAACACATTTCGATGCCAAGCTGTCAGACCAGAGGTTGAGATGCTGCACAAGCCAACTTCCAAGTCAAGTCTCTCAGATAGAATCTGATGATGTTTCAAGTGTTTCAACCCTTGCATGGCACACAGTATTCCAATCGTCCTTGGAACTGAAGGCCTTTGGCATTGTGTTGTACTTTTGGGGGCTGCCCATATAAATTCTCAGGCCTAGACCTTGCAGGACACCAGCGAACCTTCCAGACGTGTTGGGGTCCAGGTCTTTATACCGAGACGGCGCAGCTGGAGGTGGACGAGTCGCAAGGGCGGCGGCTGCAAACGACGTTGGATGAGTGGCCTGGTCGCCGTGGAGTCTCGTCTCGCCCCGTGGGGTTTGTCCCGATAGGGAAGGAAGGTCCAAGCGACGTGGGGTGTGAGTTTGGGTGGTGGCAAAACGGAGTCTCTACCATTCGTTTGTTTCCATCAAAGGTACCCAAACCATCCATTAAACTGGAAGAGTTACATTCTAACCCATTCCATCAAATTGGCGTAACTCAATCTACTCTGCCAATCAGGAGGCATTCAAGCACCCAACCGCCTAGTGTAAGCTCGCCATGACCGCCAGTAGTGGCCTTGATTTGCTTGTAAAGTCCCATGGGTTTGGCCAGAAAGGGGCCCCAAACTCTTCTCTTCGCGTCACCGGGCGACGCCGGGCGTTGGTCGATGTCGGTCGTCTCCACCGAACGCCGTCAGGTTGGCTCTTCAGCTCTCGCAGCTTCCCGTGGCGTTCTCCGTGGGCTACCAGCTGCTTGGGACCGGAGGCGGTGACAGGTTCCGTGGGACGGACCGGACCAGGCGACCAAACACCCCAAAAGCTGCCAGTGGAACTGCGGAACAGGAACTGTTGTTTGGTTGATAAGACTCTTCCCTGGACCTACAGTGACATGACCGCTTTGGAGTTGTTCTTTTTTAGATTGTTTTTAGTACAGGGAGCTGAGCGCTCAGCTGGGCCTGCTAAGGTCGTAGCTGAACGACTAGACCCACGGACCGGCAGCGAATAATGTAGCCAATTTCAGACTCCTCGCCCGCCTGGCCCTGGCCCTGGCATCCGTCTATTGGGGATCGGCCAAAATCCGTCGACCGGGAATTTGAGTCAAGAGTTCTGCGGTGTGTATCATGTGGTGAGTTTGGGGGATGTTGTTTTCTTAGCCGCTAAGCTACTTGAGAGTCGCAGCATTTCCTTTGGCTCTGGCTCCAGAGGAAGCTCATTCTGGCCAAGGCTGATGCGGAATATTTCAATATGACCACGGCATTTAACATGTGGATGGACTCGGATGAACTCTTGGATTTCTACTTTGACCCCTGGTCGGCGGAATTGCTGCCCAAGCCCAGAGTCTGTGACCAGCCACTTGCCAACTGCAACAATATTTGTTGAGCAGACGACATCAAAACAATGTGACAAATGGCTGGCATATTGATCTGATCTCAGGCTGGAGTGCTCCGTCGCTCTTAGGCGCAGTGCGGAAGACGTGGAAAACAGGGATTGGGGTGTATATCAGACTAGGAAGATGTTCCAAAACCGCTGGATTTGCTTCTCTAGTTCATCTTTTTCAATGGGTCCTTTGTGGGGCTTGTGGGGTGCCCTGGCCCTTTTCCAAAAACGTCCAGATTGGCAAACGGAAGTAGTCCTCGGCAGGTGAGTGTTTTGGTTGGAGACTACCATTGTTTTGCTTTGCCAGATACACCCACTTGAGAAGATGCTCCCCTCTAATGGTTTGTCAGTTTGTGTAGCGATACCTGCAAAAATGAATTGTATGAATTGCAAAAGGTGTTTCTACAATTAACATCAAATAGCATTATGTAAGATCGATCATTAAAACAACTGCGGTAGCTCAAGCTTGTTGTGTAACCCCCTTTTCAGCAACCCTCTACGTGTGACCTGTTTGGAGGCAGGATCATAATCCCGAGTACCTATTGAAAAGCACTCCCCAATTAAAAGAAACACCATGTTCGAAACCCTAAATGCGGTTTATTTATATGTGTTTTCAAATTACCGCCCTTTTAAGACCGCTACTAAACTACCAACATGGCCGATTTTGGAGGTGTTTTTTTGTTTATATTAGGATCCAAAAACAACCAATAAAGGTTTTTTTGTAGGGGAAAAGGAATGAAGCCCTTCGATCTGGAGGTTTTTTGAATTGTTGATATGATACGAGTTGAATAACGGATTTGTTATAAAATTTTCCTGGGCGACTTTTTGGTTTTGAAGTTCTTCCCAGGTGATCCTATTTTGGGCAACCCCAATTTCAGGGACCCCCCTTTCAAAAGAGAACATGCACCCGAGGTTTTCTTAATACGGGGGGCCGTGTTTGTTTATAGGTGGAAGGGATTAGATGCTGCGATGCCGTGCATTTTCCAAGATGAACTCCCAGTTTCATGTTGAGCATGTTTTCTCACTGTGTTGTGATGCATCCATCTCATCCAACTCACAGCACAAGAGGAAGCCCAGGGATGGGTGGGTGGCACTTGGAGTTGGACGGAGTATTTTGCAACCTACCAAGAAGGAGCCAATCATCACTCTGTCATTTTGTCACCTGTTGTAAGGCAACAAGCGGTTTTTTCTTCAATAAAAAAGACTGGACAGAAGACTTGCGCTGAGAAGTACATGGCGCTACCCCACTGCTGAAGCGACAAAGAAAGTGGTGCAAGCAGTTGTTGGAATGCTATGCACGATGCAACACCAGATACACACATGTAGCAGGTGCACATTACCACAAATGCTAGGGTGCCGGTATTCTATAGCAGTCCTGAAAAAGCATTGTACATAGATGGGACGTCCAGTCTGGTTTCCTCAGCCAGAGGGGCTCCGACGTGTCCAGAACATCCACCATCTGAGGGGTCTAAACACCATGCCTTTGGAGGAGTATCTCCAAACACTCCATGACTCCATAGGACTGGAATACATGGACCTGACCCCTGAAATCAACTTCCCCAAGTCAAGCGATCGGTAAACGTCGTAAGGTGATGCGGGATCTCTTAATGAGTTCTCTTTGCTTCAACTAAGATCACAGTCTCAACCGAGAATTGTTCAACAGTTGTGCACGGAATCTCGCCAGGCTCAACCAAAGCTGCGATGAACCCGTTGCGCAGACGAGGATCGCTGGCGTGATCGCTGGGAGGTCAAGGGTATTCATGGGTATATATTGGTGTCACTTGCCGTGGAAGTCCAAATGACTCATTGTATGCCGTAACAAGTGGTGGTACTACATACCAGGTGGGGTAAAAACAGTCATTGGAAGTTCTGGGTTGATGGATAAAGCAGCTCCCTGGGCATGCCAAGCACGACTGAACCAGAGAGTGTAGGGGAGTTGTTCTTTCGTTGTCTGAAGAGGAAGATTCCACGAGTCTCAAGGTAACTATTTAGCGATACTATGGAGATATTTAGACTATACTGGTTCACCACCACTGATGAAGCATCAAGTTGAGAATCCTGTATGACTCTTGTAGGAATTTTGCATGAGGACCAAGTCCTGAGGATTCCTTCCGTTTATAGCACCTCTTTGATGTATCACTGTATCACAGCATAGCCTTGCTATAGCTTCCGGCAGGGAGTGGCAATCGGTCCGCCTGCGACCGTGCCCTGCGGGAGAGCACCGAATCAGCTACGCAGGCGCATCGCGCGTCGCGCGTCAAACAGGGAGGATGTGGCCCAAGATGAAGCAAGTGGTGACCCTCCGACTTAGGAAGATGGAATATATACGGTATCGAAAAACATGGTCCTGGGAAGAGGGGTTTTCCTTGACAAACAGGGGGGCTCGTGTTTTTGGGATGTTAGTGAGTCGGAGTCGGAGCAGTAATTCTCAGGTTTGTTGTCCGTCAACTACTGGTATCTGCTCTGGTAACTACCAGTAGTGATGATACGGGGTCCATGTTTGTTCGTCGGGTGTGGAATGGAACTTAAATGATTTTTTTGGGGGGGCCTGGGCCCCTTCAATCACAAACTGCAGAGGTCATCATCCATTGTGCCATTGTGTTCGGATAGGCCCTAGATTGAAAGCGTTCAATGTTCGAAAGGAGGCGTGTTTTCCCCTCGCTGCTCGCTAGGTGTCGGCTGCCTGCAGTGTTTGCCTGGCTACTACAAAAGTGCCTCGGTCGTGATGACGTCAAAGGCTGTTTTTTTGGTGGCTCGTGGCCACAGCGGGTCCTGCCTGTGACAGGGTAGTCACACCGAGGCACACTTTTAGCCGAGAAAGCACAGCACGGGCCTTTTTGGGGTCCCAGGTCCCTGTGGAGAAAGCCGTGCTCAACTCCAAAACCTGCCCAGGAAAAGCGGATAACCTTTATACAATGTTGTTAGGGGGGGTTTCGTTTCCCCACTCAAATCCAACAGGTTGCAAGTTGGATTAACCTTGATGTTTCAAGGATCTGCGGGTTGGAGGGTGAGAAGAGGACCCCAAATATCAGCCACCAGCGAATGGTGCAGAATTGTTGTTAATCAATGACCACTTTTTGCCTTGGCGAACCATGGACAATTCCGCTTTGTGCGTTGGGGTTCATGATGGTTCATGGGTATAGGCGGGATAGGTAGAGCCAAAGACACCTTGCTCTCACACGGGAGACCTCAAACACCGATGGACGGCTGCCGCGTTTGACCGCGATGCCCAGGTGGAGTTGGTCCGGCCTTGTTCTGCGATCCTTGTGAGCTGGGCTTTTACATGGGTCTTACGGGAGCAGGTGCACCGGCCAAAAAGGAAGCCGGAGAGGCACACTTCATTACTGTGTAATATTTCATTAGGAAAAGTGTATATAGAGATATTTACCAAGAACTCCATTCACAACCTAAACTGGAACGATCTACTGTAAAAGGCATTGCAAGTTGCTCCTCTGGCACAAGCTGCACTAAAAACTCACACTGTGACACGCCAATGTTGTACCCTTAGAGTGCTCCACTCCTTTCGTCCTTTCCGCGACACCAGTGGTGAGACACCGCGACTTCTGCGTGTCAAGGTGCCTGTACTCCATGTCCACCGCACGAGACCACGCAGAACACCAGCTCACGCGAGATCGCCGCCTGCGACTGCGCGGAAAACTACTTCCGGAGGAACTCCTCGGTGGACGCTGGGCGGAACCGGAATGGGGCGGCAGAAGCTTTCGGAGTCCCTGTGGATCCACCGTGGGGATCGCTGAAGTTGAGCTGATGAAGGTGACAATAACAATGAATGAATGAGTGAGTGAGTGGAATGAATAATGGATATTATTATAGAATGGTGAGTCTTTTTGTTGAGCATGTTGATAGCCATTTTTGAGTGATTGACATCTCCAAAGCACTGGGGGCTGCAAGACCCTGACTGTAGGCTAAGGCAGTTTTGGGATTCCGGACCTTTGCTGTTTGGTGCCTATGGTTCTGGAAGGTCCGTTTCTAAAGTTCTGCTTGGATCGGGCACTGAAGAAGTTTTGGTCGCTTGATTCTCTCCATTCAGGAAACTCTACATCTCCCCACCCCAAACCTACGAACAGCACCCAAAGCGTTTGTCAAAGCGTTTGGTTCTTTGGCTCGGCTCGTTCCTTGTTGCATCTTTTCGCCACAGCCCGGTGTGTCCGACCGGGCTGTTTCCGACCTGGTTCGTACCGAGGATTGGACGCTGGCCAGCAACCATGGCGTTTGCGAGCCATGCCCCTACGGAGCGATTTGTCCCTTGGACCCCGCAGTGGTTTTTTTGGGACGATCGGCCACGGCCGTGGCGGACGGGCAGTGATGTTTGCAGTGGGCAGTTGGGTGATTTTGTTTTGAGGTCTTGGTTCACTCGACCCATAGTAGTTCTATGTTAATGCGTAGTGTATTGTATGTCCCCACAAAAGGAGCACTCATGTTGCTTGGGATCAAGAAAGGCTTGGTCAAGATGGCAACCACAAGTGAGAGTGCAGCTGTTTTCCAAAGGGGGTGATGACATTTGCTTGGAATGTAGTGTTCCAGACCCGGTCAAGTCAACCTGTCAAACATAGTTGGCTGTCGGGATTCATTGTTTTTGCAACTCACCAGTCCCCAATGTAATATGAATAGGCATAGTACGATACTTTGCATCAAAGGAAAGTTCCCCATGCTGGCAAGCAGATAGTTGGCGTGAGAACTTCAGGATTGTGTTTTTTCTTGTGACTATGACTAAGAGGCCGGCAAGCAACACCTTCCAGTAGAAAACAATCCCTTACACAATCAAATAATTAACATATAATCATATAATCAATATAATACTGTAATCATTCCTATTAATCAAAATATGCGAGCAATGCTTGCATCAAGAACCTAATCCATTTATATAAGTTTCCTATATAGTTTGTTTTACCGTTTTACCCGTTTCAGGCCACCCGAGTGGAGGATGACTCTCCAGAACCCCCGGTGCTTTCTCCACCCGGGTCTCCTCGTTTCGAAAACGGTCTCCACACATACACACCGGACCGGACACCAAGGCGAAGGTGGCTCCGTGTTGCCCTATTCAGCGCCGGGCTTTTGGACACCTGACAGGCGCCTGGGAGCACTTCTGGGAGCACTCCGGGACACCTGACACGGCGGAGGGAGGTCGTGAGTTGTTCGAGGGGACCGTGAAAAGCTGAAAAAGAGTACTGGGGGCCGATCTTCCCCTAAAAAGGAGGTGTTTGGAGCTATATGCGTTATGACATGTTTTGGAAGCAAGAGTTGCTGAATCCAAGGAATGACAGCCGGCCTTGGTTTCTCCAGGTTTCTTCCATCTTTGGTAGTAGGGAGTCCAGCCCGGTGATTTCATGGTGTCATGGTCGTAAATTTGCATGGTTGTATTGTGTTATATTTACACAGTAAGGTAAACACATTGCTTTAATGCATTACTGTAATTGATCGTTGTTCATGTTGATAATGCTTTCCTAGTCCTTGTTTCTTCTTTTTGGCCTCTTCAACCAATGTGTGTTATGGTGGACAATATGTGTTTGTCTCAGATTGATGAGGTCCCAAAGCGTGTTTGCAGCTTTGTCTTCGTTTCACTTGGTCAGAGCTGGCAAATGTTTGATGGTTTGCCAAACCGTTTGACTGAGATGAACGTGTCAGAAGGTCATAGAGTCATATGGTCATCCTCATTAAAGTCGCCTAACTTGTCTATTGTTGCAATGAAGAGCACTCCCTCTATCTCCCTCCAATTAACATTATGAACATGCTTTGGTCCAACACGCCCATTGCCCACCAGACATTTAGGAAAATACTCCGCGGATCTAGGGCAGCAACCAATGAAGGACTCCAAAGGCGAGAATGAGGTCTACACTACTGCTAACAACCTATTGGCTGAAGCAGGGAAAGAGTAAGGTACAGCCTGAACATGAATGCCTGGAAGTGTTTTCCTTGCAAACAACGAGTTTCTATGATTGAAAAAGGCCACAAGCTAGATACCTACTGTCCCCTAATCTTTCAGTTTCGTGTATCAAAAGCATCAAAACCCAATGCCGGATATCCTACCCAACAGCAACCTTTATCATCCTTTATCTTGAGTAAACCAATGAAATATTGTTGGTTCCTTCAAATGGATCGGTCTTTCAAGGTCCTGTGTTGCTTGACCGTGGAGGGTCACAAATAGATGGAAATGATGTCCAGCATTCTTTTACTTGGGTACCACAATATGGGCAAACGACACAGTTTGTGAAAAGTTTGGGGGTGAGATAGAAGACTTGCTTTAACTTTAACTTTAGATCTTAAGTGTTTCTTTGTGGATGGTACGTGCTTTCGCTTGTTGCCATCATCTTCCAATGTGGGTGTTCTTTCAATGATCACATCGACTCACTCACTCGCAGAACACGCACTCACTCACTCGCCGAGCCGAAGACTCCGCTCGTGTCAGGCTGGTCTTCTGGTCCTGCTTCCCAGACTTCGCTTGCCTACAAGGCTGGGCATTTGATCAACGACCGGGTGGCTGAGAGAGAATGAGGGAGTTGTTGAGACTTGGGAGAGCCCATCCCTTGGGAAGGAGAGATTCATTTGGAAGCCCACACATCCGTGAATCGTCCCTTGCCAAGGAAATCAAAAACCCGTGGATCAGGTGTGGATCAGGCTTTGGGACCTGATTCCTGACCAATCTCTGGCTCCCAATGTGCTCAGGTTGGGGCGGATCCCCCAGAGGTTCGCAGGTTCCTTGAGACCAAGATTGGGGTCGCGGGGCAACGCGCCAGGCAACGCGGATGGCCGGGGGCCTCGAAGATGGCCGGGTTGGCCTTGCAGGTTCTTCAGGGCTCCCGAAAAACTCACTAGTGACAGTGACTATATATAGTTGACTGTAGTGAGGGTATGTGTGTGGGGTTGTGTCTCCTTCAGAATCCAAAACAGTCTCAAGTTCATTCCTTTTTTGAAGGAGCAGAGCGATGAACGACTGTTGGGACACACAGGTTGACCGCAAAGACCGGATGATACTGTAATATTTGCCATCACTTCAGATGTCCCGGTGGCCATGGCAGCAACGCGAACCATTCCGTTTATTTCCCAAACACACAGAACTGCATCGAACTACTAATCTGTAGATAATCTGTCTGTAGCGTTTTTCACCGAGTGGCTTCTTCTGGATCTCTGCCATCCGCCGGACTTTGCCATCATTCCACGGACTGCGAAGGATGTGCAAAAGAGTCTGTCAGACCATTTGCACGAATCAGTTTTGAAGGCCTCCAGAAGAAAGATCAAGAACAAAATTGTAACATTGCGGATAGAGGGAGGTGTTTTCATCTCGAGAATGCGTCATGTGACATGTGTCATCAAAACCTACAGCGCCAAGTTTATCATCGTAGTTGAGAAGACAATTGGAAAAGAAACGCCCGATATACCTTCAAATAGAATGCAAAAGAACGTGTGGCAACTCATCAACTGTTTTAAACCAACAAGGGATCCTCAGCTGGAACCACGGGGAGCAGGTCCATCAAACTTGTGTTCGTCAGGCTCCCCAAGCCTATCCTTGTCTTGGCAGATGTGTTGTTCCACCTGGTATGGGTAAACACCCTACAGTAAGAATCAATAGTGTCTTTCCTGAGAGGGGGTTGACAGGGGTTGAGGCGGTGCAGGAATTCTAACTTCCGCCCTACCACTACACCCTCTTTGTCTGTTCTTTCTCTGCACTGAGATCCAAACCTTTGCCAAGAGGGTCGAGTGCCCCATGGCCGCCGCTGTGGCCGCTGTGCGGCGCAGACCTATGTGCATTTGAGCCACTGGGTTGGCAGATGGGCGAAATGCCCTGGTGCAATACAATATGTTCCATGTCCTAGACCAACTTACAGTAGATTACAGTAGGGTCATAAATGGGGTGAATGTATATACTGTATATATATATATATACACCATTAATTATATACCTATTCCAGCCTCATGGTTGGTACTCCTGCCGTTTTGGCTCCTGTGTTCATCCAAATTGTCTTCTGCAGCCTTTGTGCTGTTCAGAACGGCTGGATACTTTGGAGCATGTTTGCGTCTTCTCTCATGTGGTCCCAAACATCGTTACTTATTAAAATATAGGGGTTATTGGATGTGTTTGGTATTGCCACATATCGCAGCTACTGAATTACTAGTGTTCACAGTTATTGAATTACCAGTTGTTGCCAGGTGTCAAAGGTATTGCTGTACCAGTTGAAATTTAATGAGGGCATATGCAACAGAATCACGTGTTGCGCGGGCCACGAGGGAAAACAAATGTGAGCAAGCAACATTTTAGTCGGCACCCAACATCAAACTCATCAAACCATTTGTGTGGGTGGGTCGCACTTTAGGGCGCCGTCTATGTCCTACAGCAGGAGTCTTTTGACCTAAAGACAGAGACTCAAGACTGACTTTGCCTTTCGCAGTGTGAGGATTTTGGCAAAAATGAGAGACCCAAGAACGAAGGGAATCGTTCTCCCAACAGGACTGCATTTGTTTGAAAGGCATTTTCTTCGACGAGAGAATGGGTCGGTGGGTGCCACGATATGTCTGGTCCAACGATGTTTGGATGCCTTTCACCGGTGAGTTTGCATGTTCAACATGTTCAACCATAGACCTCTTGTTGATTCACTTCTTGACTGTCCAGGCCAGGTGTCTAGTCCCTTGAGTTAATTGCATATTTGTCCTCCGCTCTTCAATAGACTCTGGGGAAGCTCGGGCAGGGTGGTTTCTGATCATTGGAAAATCCGCGCCCTGATAGAGGAATAGCGTATTCCCATTCCATCCCATTCCATTCTGACAGTTTCCAGACGAGGTTCAACAATGAAACACAGATCCTTCTTTGTGATGATCCAGTGCCATTGCAAATCAAAAACACTCACTCCAGCACCAGCTAGTGAACACCAAGTTGACCCTTCTCTTCAATTCTCACATACTTCTCGCCATACTTCTTGCAGCCAAGCTTTCACAGGCTGTCCGGTCGCTCCACATGTCGACGCGACGTGCTTGCTGTCCCGGTGAGGCGAGTGCAGGCTTTGTGGCTTGGCCGACCGCGTGTTGGCGTGGGTCGGGCCCTTCCTGGTGCCCCTCTTGACGGTCCTGGCTACTTGGCGCCAACTGGGCGCCGCCAATGGCGCAGATGTTTGCAGTCAATGCATAGCGTGGCCACGCTGGGCTGTCGTAGGCAAACATCGTGGAGTGGTGCAAAGGACCAGATGCGACCCTTGCACCCCGCGCTACCCTGGCCAAGGGTTGGCTTTTTCTGGGGGCTCTTGGTGGTTTCGTTGGACAGGTTGAAGCTGGTTCATCGGGTTTTGACTTCCTTGTAGATGCCTGACCTATATACTAGAGTGCTTTTCTTGTAGTTTTGGAGACCGAAGCAACACTGTTGGTGGGTGGGAAGATGATGTTCCATGAGATTCCTGGAAGGAAAAGGTAATCTACCATTTTATGTGCGATGGTGGGAGAAAATGGGGGTCTTTGGGGTCTTTGTCTTTGTGCATGAAACCTTTATGATTGGGGATGCCTCCATGAAATTAAATATAGGACCTCAGCTCCCTTCAGCGCAAAAAAAAGGATTTCTATTTTAGACATGCTGTCCGTGTTTGGAAGATCTGGACCTTGGCTCCAATGAATTTATTTTAGAATGTGAGGCTGATGCTGGATAAGTTTTTTTTTTAATAAGATCAGTCATGATACAAGGGCTTTGAACCTCAGCACTGGTTGATTTTATTTTCTTTATCTTGGATAGTCAGGGACGCTTCAAAAGCAAGCGCGTTCAACTTGGGATGAGTTTCCACTAAATAGTTTTGAGTTTCCACTACAAAACAATGGCTGCGCGATGCAAGTCGTCCCAGTCATTAGTCATTAGTTCAAGACGATGGCTTCCCAACCCTACCCAGAGAAATCTCCATGAAGCATAGCGTGAAAATAGAATGTGGGAAGGCATGGCCAGAGACAAGTCTTTTGTGGGTGGGGGTTGAAGATACACAGATGTATTTGTTTAATTGCTGCATCACCAAGCCAGCCCCCACAAAAGCCACCCAGCCCAGCCAGAAAGCATTAGAATAAGAATTGGTTAGCAGATTGAAAGAGGTGTAGTTGTAGTTCTAGGATGGGTTTAGCTTTGGATTGGCAGATTGTTTTTTTTTGCGATTGTTTTTCCAAAAAAAAAGCAACCAAAAACGCAGACACAAGCACAGCACCCCACACAAGCCATGCCAGTGCATCCCAACCCTACCCAGTGAAACCTCCATGAAACATAGCATGAAAATAGAATGTGGGAAGGCATGGTCAGAGACAAGTCTTTTGTGGGTGGAGGTTGAAGATACACAGATTTTATTTTCTTTAATTGCTGCATCACCAAGCCAGCCCCCCACAAAAGCCACCCAGCCCAGCCAGAAAGCATTAGAATATATTTGAATAAGAATTGGTTAGCAGACTGAAAGAGATATAGTATATGTTGTGGTTCTAGGGTGAGTTTAGCTTTGGATTGGCAGATTATTTTTATTGCAATTGGGCTTTGGTGAACCGGCAGTCTTGGGCATTTGCGTTTAACAGATGTATCATATCATAGGTCAAGATCAGGGTGGAGTGGGAGCCGACGTCTAGCGCAAGCATTACCTCAAGATTTTTTGCCTCGGGGTTGCTCATTTTATTTTCATCAAGTTGCCTCCGTTGAGGTATTCTGATAGCTTAGTCAGATGATGAATTTGCAGGGTTGGACCCTTTGATTTTATTTTAAAGTACCTTGGCTACCCCCCAGAATTATTCTATTTTTGGAGGTGCTGACGCCCCCCGTGGCCCGGAGCCCCAATCTTTATGATGACAAGACTTGATCCTTCTTCTTCAAACCCTGTTCATGAAGACTTTTGTTTTCCTTGATGATGGTGTCATCATCAACTTATATAGTAAAACCAAACAACTTTTGGGGAGAACTATTATAGGATACTATCATCTCAGGTGTTTCTCCATGTTCCCCAGCCAATCCGAGATCTTCTTGCCCTTGCTCATCCGTCTTCTGAGATGCTTGGCGCAGGTCGAAACCCATCGAAACCACAGGTCGCCCGTTCTTCCGCGTGTTGTGGGGACGAGGGGCCCGTTCACTGGGTGGGTGAGCGGTTGAATCCAAGGGAACCAGCCTTCACTGTTCACCAGTCATGCCCTTTTTTTTTGGAAGAGCGCCCCGTATGATCAGTCTGGGAAGCGCCGGACCAGTCTGTCTACAAAAGAAGCGCCGGACCGGTTTGTTTTGGCGAAGGTGGTGGATGCCAGGGGATGTGACCTGTTTTATCATGTTTTTGTCTTGTTCTTTTTTCTAAAACAAAGCATGAATCTGTGCAACAACATGGTCGATTCAATGCACTGCTGGGTCCTTCAGCTACTTGCAAGTTTGAAGATTCTCCGCACCATGATTGCTACGTGTTTGATGAATTTGCAGTCGTCGGCGTTGCTGGCCATTTGTGCCAAGGATCCAACGACATGGCTCGTACCAAGAGATCCAAAACCCTGATTAAACAAAGAGGCGGCTCGGTGGGACAGTCGCTGCGACCTGGGGCCCAGCGATGCCGCTTCGACGGCGTTGAAAGGTACCGGAACATCCAATGTACAAGCGGTACAAAATCGTGTGGAATGACTACGCAAGTTCCCCAGTATGAGGAATTGAATGGAAGGACCAACGGATATATGTTTGGGTGGACCAGCTTCCAGTCACCCACCCACTTGAACTACCCAAGCAATCCCAAACACATTGTTTGGAGATGTTTGGAGGCGAATGGATCGGGTACGGTACGGGTATTCTTTTTCAATTGTATCACCACCAATATGAGAGTTCAGAACATAATTATATGACGTACCAAAGAAGAAGGCGTGTACAAACTGCGGCATTTTTGTTCCGCCAGGTACACGACACGAAAAGCCCAATCGAAACTGAACAGATGAGAGTTGAGTTGAGATGAACATGGCTGGGAGAAATGTGTGTGATTTTTCCCCCTTTATGAAAGGACATCCCGCACGACCGCCCATCTCATCCCCGCACTCGAGCCGCCACGCGCCGCGCAAACACGGCCCCACGGCCATACACGAACACGGCAAGGCAAGACGCGGAACTCGATGCTGGGCCACTGGGGCAGATGAGGTTCTGGTTTTGGCTTGGATTTCTTGGTAGCTGTTATCCACTTTGCTGGTCAAGCCTGGCAAACCACATGGCAGTTGCTCCGGTTTGTGAGATCTGAGACTAGCGCTTTGATGGTTGCAAACCTGTAGCGGGGTCTGTTGGCAAAAGATGAAAAGACAGTCAAGACAAGATGAGGTGGAGATCTCCTTCCTCAACCTGGATTGAACCTATGGAACCTCCCAAATGTCCACTTTTTTGGCAGGTTGCCATGTGACTTTTGGGGAGAAATTCCTTGAAGATTACAAACAAGATCAATCAAGAGACTTGGGATCAACCGCAGTTTCCAGAGTGCAGTTTCCATTTTACCTCTTTTGACGAACCTTTTTGATGCTTTGCATAGATGGCCCACCCTACCTATCGACCATTAGCAGTAGTGAACGTGGATGATTTGGAAGTGACATCCTGTTTGGCATGATTCATCAGATGCTTGCATCCCCCTTGCCTGTTTGAATCGCTGAATGTGTGAGTGCGGGCCATGGCTACGACCTCTCCGCCAAACTCGCTCGCCCTTCATGTACAAGGGACATCAAGGGACCAACCCCCGGCCACCCCCCCCAAGGCCACCTGGGAGATGATCACGGAGAGTTCCGCATGCTCGTCGTGATGTGGACGACTCTTCAAACGCGCCTTGGGTTCCGGCGAGTTCCCACGAGAGTGGTGGGTGGTGGAGGGTGGATGGTGCAGGATGGACCCGGTGCTTCCGTTGGGATGATAAAGAACCATCACAGCATCAAACAAAAAGACGTGTTGGGACCTGGATGTCTTGGGAATACGCCCTCAAGGTGAACTTCAGACAATTAGTGTTCGGATGTTTTCGTTAGCGCGAAATTGAAGCGAGAATCACCAGTCGTCTTTAGGTTGTTCGCCGCTGAGAGTTTACCCACAAATGAAGAAAAAAGTTGGGCCAGGCGACACGTGAACCCGCTCGTGCCTGAATCGGTCGTTCCAAAACGATGAATGGATGGGATCGGAAGGGATCTCTCTCGACACCCAGGGGTTGGGTGTCGCAGGTTGTGGATTTGTCACGAGATGCCTTTAAACTTCACGCGCTGCTCGGCCGCGGATTTCGATGCGCCGTGGTCGCTTAAGGTTTGTTCGGTCGCCGCGGCAGGTGCAGTCATGGCTGTGTGACCTCAAAGTAATATGTACTTTCTAACTAGGAGAAACGACGCTGCAGGAGTCCTGGTGGCTTCTGAAAGGGTTCTTAGAGGGTCTCTTCAAGAAACACTGGCCCGATGGATTGAGGATGCGAATCTAGACATCGTGAACCATGTAAAGGAAATGCTTTTGTCCCCTAGCTAGGGCAGCTAGGGACCAATGAAAAGGATCCGTGTATCCTCTGTCGAGCCATTGAAGCAAACCACATCCGAAGTCCAAGGACCACCCCAAAAAGCATATTACCATATCATAATGAGATAGTATGTTTACATTGGGGATTGGCCTAGAATCAACGAACTTTCTCCATCTTACTTTTGGCAGGTGTCTTATGTCAAGTCTTCTGCTTGGTAATGTTCCTCGTCACCAGTGTTCGGCTTGGGTGAGAGATACGTACGGACAGGTCGCCTAGCAAACGGACAGCCAAACCTTGGGAGTCGCTCTTGGGTGGATCACGTGCCGGAAAACTGGCGCAGCAGCAGCAGGAGCAGTAGGAGTAGCAGTAGTAGCCGTAGTACGAGTAGCTTTACATGTTAATTTGAGACAGTTTGATAGGTGGCATACATACCAGTGTGGAAAGCATGCGTATATAGAGTTGTTCAAACATACTGTTGATCGAACACGGCCCAATCGCCATAGGGTAGAGTGTCCCACTGAGACCCAACAAAAGAGTGGATTCCAGTTGTTCCGAGGTAGCTAACATCATCACCAAAACTATTTGCTGACCTTCCATGTAGGTGTTGGTGACATTTGGTGACAGGTGCCCATTTCGCCACTTGTTTGTGTCCAACCCTTGGAGGCTCCCAGGTTGTGGATACATTGGGCATCTGGGAGATCCCATCGTTGTGAAGGTTCCAGGTTGTGGATCTCGAATGCTGTGAGGCTTTACGCGGGACTGGTTGTGGGCTTTAGGCGCGGCTTGCCTTCGGGCACTCCATCCGGTTGTTCGGTGTGGGTTGTTGGGTAGAAATGACCGGAGTCTCTCTGTAGATGCCAAGGCTCAGACGACGAGCAGGTCCGGTTTTTGTTTTCGCTTAAGCGTCCGAGAACAACTCACTCGAGCAGGGATGTGTTTATTTTTTGGGGAATGGTTTATGGCAATAATGCTTTGCAATTGTTGCTACACTCTGACTCACTAACATGGAAGTGGAACATGGTCCTTTGGAAGACAACTTTCCTTTACAAACCAGGGGTTTTCCACTTCCATGCTAGTAAGTCGGAGTGTATGTGCCGCCCCTACGGACCAACAGGTTCTTTGCCGTTTAGACGGGTCTCGTAGGAACAGTTGACAGACGATGTGGACCTGGAAGACGAGGTGGACCAAGCGGCGACAAATAGTGGGCCTGGAAAATGGTGTGTGTTTCATTGAGTCCCGCCCCTTCAGTCAGAAAGCGAGATCTATAGTTATATCTAGCTACTGTATACCAAACCTTGAAGATATGTACAGTAACAATACCCAACATCGTCTTACAGTTGATGATCCAGCAATATGATACAATATCTAATATCCTCCAACGGCACTCCAGATGAATTTAATTCCACCCTTACTTTTAATCGCCAACCCAAAACCATCCGGTCCACCCGGTCATAACGGTGCTCGGAACGCGGAACGCGCCCTGTCCGCGCCTAAAGGTGTCACGGCCTGGGATTTTTCGATTTTGAGACCGCAATGTGCCTATGAGTTCCTTGCAAGCTGAACTGGCGAACATCCGGCGCATCTGCGGATCTGGGGTCTTTGACAATCTTTGATTGGAGGAGTTTGATAATGTTGATTTCGGTACCAGCAGTATGTAACTCCGTAATATATCGACTTGTATATAAAGTATATCGAGGTGTAATTCATATAGATCGATGGTGTAATATCTACAGATAGGGTCTCAACGAAGGAACCACCACCGAAGAACGTGTCTTGCCGGTCGAAGAGACTACGGGGGACTGCATGATATTGATGGCTCAGCCGGGCTGGTTGTTCTTTGTTGGTTTGGAGGACTGTTTCAACTGCTCGCCATCACCATCAGGCATAGTCACTGTTAGTTATTTTCGTTTTTTAAAAAGTGAAACGCTAATGAGGTTGACCGCGAACTGAAATTCCCTGGCCGAACGTTCTTTGGCCAAACTGGTGCGGTTTCATTCACATGTGCGCCACAAGTAGATGGAACAGTATCCATCCCCATACTGTGGAGACCTAGTTTTGTTCCCCAACAGCATCCTCAACCCGCATGGAACCTGGAAGCCACCCACCCTGAGGATTAGCTTTGTTTGGAAGTGGCTCCTGCAGTGGTTGGGCTTCTTCGTGATGATTGCCGGGTTCCAAGCAGGTTCGCGTTCGACTACGGGGTTGGACAGACCTGAAAAGATATATATATATAGAAGATGTGCCCTGATGGGCCATGTGTGTGTGTGTGTGTTCAAATTGAACAAGCAAGGCAGGTTCTACTACGATGACTTTCCGAGCATGGGAACCAATTCAAAGGTGTGAAGACGGAGAACCACGCCATAGAGACAGAGCCAGGAGTTCAGTGGGTGGTTTGCTTTGCCACAGAATCAGAGGATGTTTCGAGCCGATAGGACCCAAATCGTGCGGACTGTCAACTGACCAGTGGAGGGAGATGTTTTCCGTGTTGTTTTGGAACGTGTGGGGTCTGGGTGGTTTGCGTAGCAGAACTGGTGATGCAGAGATGGATCACGAGCAACTGGGCCACTGGGATCCACTGTCACTAGGCCTGTCTTTCTTGGGATGAACAATTCATCACCATCTATAGCTTTCCATCACACCAAGTCAACGTCCCAACGGGTGGGTGAACGTCGGAAGCGACACGGGCGGACAATTTGGGATGAAACATCCAGGAAGAATGATCGGCCCTTTCTATGTGAGGCCTGGATCGGGCTGAATCAACTGCGCAAAACATTCTGAGGCCTTCACGCTCCTGTGTATTTGGATTTATACCTGCATCCACCGGAAGCCTGGCAAACACGAACATACATGGACTTGCAAAGTGTTTGGTGCTGAAGTAGGTCCCAGCAGGGACGATTCAGATGAAAGGTGTGGCTGGAAATGGGAGGAAGACCACATTCTGTAGCACAAGCTGAGGAGGAAGAAAGAGGATTGTATACTTTTCCCATGCAGATGAGACCCTCTCTCATCATATATGTATATATATATATATCATATCCCACAGAGAGAGCAGATGGCCAATTGTCGAGTGATCCAGCAACAGCCACAGAGATGTAGAGAGAGAGAGAGAGAGAGATTTTCTCGAGTTACAGGTCCTTCTTGATCAAAATCGTTAACTACTAGCATTCGAGGTGTCGGAGTGACTCAGTAGCAGGGCCATTCACGTGAACCTCTTCCAGCGCTTCCAGCCCCCGATCTACACCATTTGCACCTCACCCCAGCGGCCATGACACGGCCACCCAGCTGTTGCTGGTCAGGAACGCGAATCGTGACTACTACTACATTAGCCCTTCACAGGGTCTGCTTGGCATGCTGTCCATCAACTTCATGTTGCTCGGTATCAAACCGAGAGAAATCGGTCGTTGGGGCCTTTTTTGAGCGAAGACTTGCAGTCTAAGCCAGCAGATTGAGTGTACAGTCGTCGGGTGTTCTCCTTGATCAATTACTCGCCTGAGATTAAAGGGTATCGGATGGTATCGGTATTGCTGAGGGTCCAACGCGACGATTCTGGGGCTCTTCAGGTTTGGGCACGATGCCAGGATGCCCAAAGCTGCAAAGTATGTAACCAAACTGATGTACAACTCCTTCAAATCCCGTGGCGCAGGGGGTCATTCGCGTTTCACCCATTGCTCAAAGTGACACACTTCGACCGGACTCAGAGTTGCCCAGGATTCTGCTCCTGGTTCACCTGCGAGATGACTTGATATTTCTGCAGTGCATTGATTGCGAAGATGGCAAGTTGTGCGTCTTGGCGTTCTCGCTTGGCGTGAGTTCTTGGACCAAATTGTTGACTGTATCGAAGTCGATGACTCGAACAATGCTTGATTATGCTTGATTCAACATAGATTAAGTTCTGTTTTTCCGGTTCCACCGGTCGGTTTTCCACAATGTCACAGTATGTAGCATTTTCCTGGGAGTAGATTAGATGGAACACAAGATAATATCATAGTGTCCTCGTTGTTGTACTAGTGGTTATTGCTGCTGCTGGTGTTGTTTGTTTGCTTGTTTTGGTTTAGTTGTTTGTTGTGTGTGTGTGTTTTTTTTTTTTAAATATGTTTATTGTTTCCGTTATTTGATGTGTCTTTATTTTGTTTTATTTGTTTTTATTTGTGTTCTTGTTATTGTTTTGGTTTTGCCGTTCTTGTTTTCTTTCCTGCTTTTGTTCCTTCTGTCCTATTTTGGTGCACGACGTCGGTGGCGATCATGAGCTTTTAACGCGTGTTCATTGTTTTGGGTGTTACTCGTATAGACAGAGGATGCTGCATCATGAAGCATCACGAATCAAAATGGGGGTGGGTGGGTGGGTGTTGGGACCAAGTTGAGATGTACATGATGATCCCAACAGCACGTTGCTGCATCATGGAACTTGCTTTGGCTTGAATAGGGGGTGGTGCCAAGTCGCGATGTATGTGACGATTGGCAATTGGCAGCAACAATGTTGCCAACAATGCGATGTTAGTTGGCAAAGCCTCAAGACATACTCACTGAAGCAGCTTCACAACAATAGAAAGGACAAGTGTTGTAATGAACATCTCATCTGCTACGTGCTCTCCTGGTGCTTTCGTCCAAAATGTGAAGTGAAGACACCTGTTTTTGTGCTGTGGGCCAATTGTGATGCCACGAGATTTCAACAATTCGTGCTTTTCAACACTTTGGCACATACCAGACTCGCCCATGTAACGCGGAGGGCCGAGGAGAAAAGAAAATCAGGAACGCCTCTGTAAGAAACAGTGCTTCAAACCTCCATTTTCAAAACAACATCATGTAGGACAAGAAGCTACTAGGTGAAGGCCATCGCTATTAGGTTGGAGGCCATCGCTACTAGCAACAAGAAGCTACTGGGGTGGAGGCCATTTAACTTCTCAACCATCCTAGTAGCTTCGACCAAGACATCCGAAACCCGACGCCCAACGGCCATCAATCACGCGGGCTCGGCCTCTTTTGTTTGTGTTTGTCTTGTTCTTGCGTGCTTGCAGTCGTTCTATGTCGGTCTGGTTTGGATAGCTGGAAATAGACCACTGAGTGGCTAACCAGGGAAAGAGTCTAGCCCAGGACCAAAAAAGAAAGACCTCTTTGAAGCTCCCAACAAACCGTTTCTGGGAACGCAAAAATGCCTCATTCTGTGGCCTCAAACGAATGTTTGAGAGTTCATTTGGTTCATCAGGCCTTGCGGAGCAACCGGCCATCGAGTGTCGCTTGGGCGATTGGGTGCCTTGGTGGCGTTAATGCAAAGTCGAAGGTTCAATGAAGGAACAGGTTCGGAACATTTGGATCATGGTGTCGGTGAACACTCTTGTTTTCTGAATGTCTGTATGTTTCTGTACTGTATATCCTTCTCCTCTCACATTTTGATGTACTGTAGCCCGGGAAGAATACTAACAGAACAATGCGCAGTGGTTGTCACCGAGGGCAATGTTCCTCGACCAAAAAGACAAATACTGAGCTCATCCCGACAGACTACAAGAAACATGAGCTTTGTGAAACACAAAGGTCACTTTCTGCAATCAAGCCAACAGAGGTTGAAAGACCCTATAGGCTATCCCATAGGTACCCCTGTAGTGTCCTATTTACGGTCACTTAACCTCTGTTGGAGATTCCTTGTTCGGATTGCGTTTTGACCACTTCGCCGAACGAGCCGAGGAATGGTCAGCCTGGACCTTGGAGTCGTTGGAGAGGATGGTCACGAGACACATCATCCTTGGTTTGTCACACAAGTGATTGTGACCTCCCACCATTGTTTAAAGCGGTTCTTGTGAAGTTCTTGATTACCATTGATTACCTCATGTCACTTCAATTGTCGTTTCCCATTGTGGCCCTAGTCACGAAAGGTAGCATCAGGCTACCCTGAGTTCTCTTTTTGCTTTATATAAGCAAAAATATATTGTACACCAGGAATTGGTGGCTAGAGTTTGGTCCTGTAAGGAAGGATTCTTCATCATAGGGGCACCCCCTGGATCAAATCCCCCCTGCTGCACCTTGCACCTGATGGTTAGGGGGAACGCATGCACTGCATCACGCTGAGCACCGGGTCACAGGAACAGGGCCGAAATGTTCCTTGTGACCTATTGGTTCATCCCCTCCTCTCTCAAGTTTCTTGCAATGTGTTGAAGGGAACTGAACCTTTCTCTTTCATTAGTCCGCTTCGTTGAGGATGTCCACTAGTCCGATGCCCTGCCTTCGTTGCACACTGGAGACTAGGGTTGGTCTCAAGAATTAATGAGAGGATGTTACTGAAGTTAACGACATGACATACAGAAACCAAGTTGCACTTACAATTGCAGGACAACTTCACTTTACTGGCCCGTCCCACACAAAGAGGCGCATATATTGGGAAGCACATTCCAGAATCCTGCGGGTTTTGCCGGTCATGTGGCAAAGTAGAATCGAGTCAAACTACCCCAACGAACTCGTTTTGCAGAGAACCCTCGACCGTTTGATACTTGGCCGAGACCATGTTGGTGATCTCATTGATGGACATCTTCATTGTTATCGTGTCTCGGGCATTTTGGGCGGTGAGTGACTGTTCAGTGGCAGTGCCGGGGTTAGAAGAAGAATGAAGAAGACGTGTTTCACAGCCACAGCTTCTGGCACAGCCTTTTGAACATGTCCATTTTCGTGGTCAACTTATATTATATATACTGCGATTTAGGACGTTGAGGGGTTCTCCGAGGGACAAAAAGTTGCAAAACTTTGGGACCCGCGATGCTTCCGGGATGCAGAAATCTGATGGGTTCGGATGCCAATGGTGTTTTGGCCGACCTCTGAAAACACCCTTCGACTTACATGAGACTCAAGCTAGATGAGGGACGAGCATGGGCGGAGAAAAAGATCTTCCAGAAAGGATCGTTGTCACAGGAAATCACCTGGTGTGGAACGCGAACATCACCTGAGATGTGAAACACAATTGGAACACCGTTTGATTTGAAGAAGAGAAGGCATTAGAAACGGCTCAGCAGCCTCGTGAACGTTCGCAGTTCAAGGTGGGCTGTGCCTACATGATCGTGCTGGGTGTCTATAAGTCTTGGCGCTGGCAGCATGGGATGCCTGGCTGCGCCAAGACGAACATGATCTTGGAGTTGATAGCAGGGGGCCCTGAGGCCCCCCAAAAAGAAACTATGTTATTACAAAAATATTACAATATGTTATTAGTTATTAGTTATTAGTATGTTATAACACCAGGTAATATGTTGGTATGTTACTATAGTTGTTATTATAATATGTTATTAGTTTACTATGATTACTGTCAACTGTAGTTAACATAGTTGTTCAGAAGCCGCGACTGTGATGATGGATTCCCACCCCAAACCAGCGCTGACCCAATTTATGGTTAAAAAAAGAAGCCTTTTGGGATGTAGATTTCAAAGTTAGCTGAAACCATGAAGAGCGATAGGCCCACCATGTTGCACCCACTGTCAAACGCCCCGACAGGATCTCCTCGCCGGTTGAAGGTCCTGGTCCTGCGGAGCAAACCAAGGAATTTGCCTGGGCTTTGCTCCAACGCCGAAATTCCCTGGTACGTGCTCTTTGCGGTGCCTTTTCACGTGGAAAAACCGTCAAGGGTGGGGTGGGGGAAACGAACTGTTTGAAAGTCCGAAGGAAGTGATGAAGTGGAACTAAGGACCAACTAGCATAACTGACTAGTTTACCTCATCAAATGACAGCAGTCGAACTCAAAGAGTCTTTGGGACATGTGCTGTCCAATCCGGTTCTGCATGGCCACCGACGAGCTGCAGCGCAGCGATCAGGACCTGTGGGTGCGAGGCTACATTGGATACATCAAGGAGATCCGAGAGGCGAGACCTGCATCCACCATCCCATGTCGGCCACCAGACGAATGGGACTGTGGAGGAGTTGCTCGCATCTACTCCATGAAAATGACCTCAGTCTAATGTAAGTCTTTGGAAAGAATCTTCATGAAAAAGAATGAAAAAGACTGATGTCCATGCATGTCCATGCATGTCCATGCATGTCCATGCATGTATGTCTCTAATTCTCATGAACATGTCCCAGTAACTGTTCCAGTCCCGCTCTGGGCTGTCGTTACACGAACGCGTAGGACCGGACGCCACCCGAAACGAAGGGTCCACGGCGTTTGAGGATCAGCGACACCTGCACCAACCGCAGGTCATGGATGTGGCAAGGAGGTTTTTCACGGACCATGCCATGACTTTCCGGCCCAGTCATGTGACATGCAGTCCTTCGATGTCCCTCTCGTCATGAGAGGTGTTCTTTGGCCGAAAACTGGGCAGGCTTCGGAGTCGTCTAGACTCCCCCCTGACACGAGCCACTTGCTCTGCCTCTCTCTCCGCAGTCTGCAGTCGACACGTGACGTGACGTTTGCGGCTCGCCAAGTCGGAAGCGACCCCAACCGGGACCTGTTGACCCGGTCCCGGTGACGGTCTGGACGGTCCGGACATGCCGGGGGTGATCGACTCCGACCTTTTGAGGAAGTAGTTGGAATAGGGATGGCTTCGTGCTGCTTCATGGAACTTTGTTGCAAGAAACTGTCCCAGAGCCCAACGTGTGTCTCTCTCTCTTTCTTCCCAGCAGGCGGTGCCAGAGTTTCAGCAAGAGTATCCTCACCTGGAGAGTGAGGAAAAGCGCAAGGACCGCTCAGAAGTTGAGTGTCAAGCCACTCCATGAAGAATGTGTGGATTGCGCAGATGGAACAAAATACGGATAAACAAATGCATATCATATAGTTGAACACACAAGAAATATTGCGCCCGTTTTGTTGACTCCCTTGAGACTTTGAGCAGCTATATACCTACTTTCCTTTGCTGCAGCGCTAAAAGTGCAACATGATGCCATCAAATCCATTATTCAGAGACAGAAGCATTTGCAGTGAAACCTCCCACGAAAGCAGGACCATCAGAAAGACTCCGCTTCCTGTCTCAACATGTCTTTGTGTTCCATTTTGAGATATATAGATGGCCGATGGCCCCATAGTGGCCCCCCCAAACCACCGGTCCCAAATGACCGTCAGGTCGACCCGACGTCTACGACCGAGTCTTTCTCGCCCTACAAAGCGATGGCCTCCAACCTAAGAGCTTCTTGCTACTAGTAGTAGTGGCCTCCAACCTAATAGCGATGGCCTCCACCTATAGTAGCTTCTTCTTAGTAGTAATGCCAGGAGCTACTAGTAGTGTTCTTGCTCCGACTAGCGATGGCCTTTGCTCAGGAGGTTTGGAACAAGGCCATCGACCTCATTTTGGCCCAAGAAGCCGAAAAGGCGAGCACCGACGCGTCTCGTGCAGACGCAGAAGCGTAAGGAAGACGCGCCGAGAGGAAGGACGCACGAGTCACTAATCGGGACGATTGGAAGAAGTGACAGCGAAATGCTGCAGTTTGGGTTTGAGTATAGTTACAAAGCAAGAGATCAAGAATAAATAAGTAAACATCCCAAGGAAGCTCAACAATGGCTCCCCAAGTGGTCGGGTAAATGTAAAGCATGACTAAAATCTGCAGATTTCAATAGATTTCAAGGGCTCTCTTTTTTGAGCCACATCCATAGAAAAATTGTCGACTTACTGTGTGCTTTTAACGTGCTCACCAACAGGCCTGTAGAAATGGCTCAATTTGTTCTACAGGATCACAGATTGAGGCCTACCCCCACACGCAACGTACTGTGGTCCAGAACATGTCCTCGTGAGTTCGATTTTACGAGGGGTTCCAGGTAGAGGTGCTGTCTTCACACATTTGTCCACGTGGTTCCAGGCAGAGATTCTTCTTCACCGTCTTGTCCAGCACCTGTGACTTGGCAGCAATACATGAGATTGAGGTGACATGGTTTTGGGTCAATAGCCACCAGGAAGCAGGGTATTGGTATTCTGTGCTAGTTTTGGTGTTTTGAGTTGCTGTTGATTGAACATATGTTTTGCTGTACATTGCTTCGGTGTGTCATGGCAACTCTTCATGGCATTGACAATCCCACTTTATCTATCTAAGTGATTCATGGTGATTCAGGAGTTTGTTCCCAGTGGATGTGTTTGTTCATGCTCGTTCCATTCGTCCCCATGCTCCTGTGGAACCATGACAGAACATCACCCATCCTCCTTGTTTAACGTTTGTGATATCCTCCTTTTCTGAAACAAACACCGTAGGACAGAGAGTCACAAAACGCCAAGGATGTCTTCGGCAAAAAACGTCCCCCTGCCTCATCCCTGCCTCTGAACCACCACAGTGGCGCAACAGGTATCGCCACCACCCGCGGTTCCGTGTCATCGGTGAGGATGAAGGCCCCGCGTCCGAATGCCGGCAGTTTTCGACGGAAAAAGGGGAAGATCTGTGGAGGAGTCGCCAGGACCAAAGCAGAAGATCTTACAAAATTTCGGAAGAAACCCATCATACACTCATCATTCACGACTAAGCTGAACAATGACCCGGGTATACTGTTTGATACACATATATACCGATTTGTAGATCCGGCACGAGTCTCGTCCTTCTTCTACTTCGGCAAACGGGTCTCAAATGCCCCACCGAAGAGGTCCAGCGTTGCAGCTCGTGAAGGCCATCACGAGGTGCGTTCCGGCGGTCCGGCGGGTGCCCGTGCTTTTCGTGCTGAACTACGGGTGGAGCCAGATGGCCGGTATGGCCGGTGTATGTCAAACAGGTCAAACAACGTTGAGTGAAGATGTTTTTTGGGGGGTTGAATATATGTGAAGATGGGCTGGCCACCGGCAAAGGCCATCACGATCCAAGCATGATGACATGTGAGTATTTGCTTTGTTCACAAGATAAACTGGTTGTTGTGAGTTTTTGGTATTATGTTAGTCAACTTATTAGCAGATTAGTAGCTTGTGCTCATGCCACTCACATACATATTGTTTCACAGCATACGAAGCATACATATGTCGTATGGTTGTGTCTCAGCATACGAAGCCTTCCAAAGCTAGACATGAACCAGTGGTTGTACTTTGTGCAAGTGTCACATGTTTGATTGTCGTAACATGTTGTAACAAAAACATACAACAAATACAAAACACATTTGGACAACCCAACAACACACAAACAGGTTGTGGAGAGATGAGGAGAGTTGTGTTTTGGAACTAAGCTCAAATTGATTTGCCACGTACGTGTTCTTCACATGTTGTCGTGCCTTCGTGCCAGTTCGTACACCAGCGAGCGCTCTGTGAAGGCTCAAAATGCCACTCGGCGGAGGCGTTCGGAACAAGGGAAGCCCCAACCAGTTGACGTTGCCTAGGTTTCCTGCTCGGCTTGATTATGGCTTGTCAAACTTCATTGGGCTGTGGCATATTCACAAGGAAATCAGAGGAAAATCCACAAGCACGGAGTCAGATCATGATAGGCTGGATGGTGTGCATACCAGGAAACCCATACATACTGAGGTCATGAAATAGTCCTTGCTTCCATGATTCCATGATGTATGGATGTGCGCACGGATGATGCCACAAGGTGTATGCATGATTAGCCACATAGCCCAGCTCCATTCTTTCAACTCTGCGGTGTGTCCGGACCACAAACCAGGTAGCCAGAGGTTCCTCCAGGTCACCAGAGGGTGACCGGAGTGGGTGTCGCCACCAGGGTGCCGTTGAACCACCCGAAGCCTCAATACAGAGGCCGTTGCAGAGGCACGCCATGTACAGCCAAGGAAGTGCTTGGACGAGCGGAAGATGGTGTAGATTCTTCCTTGAAACTCAGCCGCAGATCCTCCCACGCTCGTTTGATGCTCCGGGCTCGTTTGATCAAAGGATCAGAAGTCAACTTCTTCTGGAAGACATCCAGGGTGTCTGAATCTCTTGCGGTGGTACTCTACCGATCAATAGACATGAACCTTCGAACATGAACTAGACCGACTTCCACTCTGCGGGCCATGAATGTCACAGGAATGACCATTACCTTCCTGCATCAATAGATCTAGAAAGGTATGGCATTGGTGAGCGACGATCAAACCACTGTTTGGAGTGCTAAGAAGACTTGTGGGATCCGGGTGAATAGCTAGCTCGAGTCTAAGACTATATACTATATACTCACCCACTTATGTGTGGGTCGTTTTGTTTTTTGGGGGGTTCAATCAACAACATGTTTGCCTAGAAAGAACTGTTTGGGTATGGATGTTGTTGGAAATCGTCAAAGTTGATGGATGTTGATGTCCAATCCCAGGACTATAACTTGCAATCTCGTTTCTGGGTTTGATGAGCATTTTCTGGTTTGCCTCGGAGTGAGTTGTTTTTTTGCGCGTGGCCGATTGAGGGTATCCGTATCCTTTCGCCAGCTTCATTAGCTGATGGGACGGAACATGTAGAGGATGTGAGTGATGTGAGCTGATAGGGATAGGGTCCCGGTTTTCCATATCAGGTCCACAGGATCTGTCAACCAGGAATACGCCCACCTCACCTAGGACCTTATGTACTTGGGGCCTTGAAACCAAAGGCTGGAACTCTACCATCCCGTAAAGTGGCTTTGTTTTTAGTCGAAAGCACACCCACATTTTGCTTGGGACATGTTAGTGAAGTCAGAAGTCATTCAGATGCTCACATCTGCACATTCAGATGTTCAGATGTTCGGATCTTCACCCCCGGAATCCCCAAGGAAAGAAGGGGAGCAAACCGATCAACGATTTCGCTGCCCAGGAAGGTCGCGGACGTCCATCATGTCGAGCTTCTTGGATGCGTTAAGATGGGAGCAGATGTGCCTGGCTCAAACAGCGTTGAGTCGAGGTGGGATACTTGACGGACTTGTGACTTGTAGCACTGGGATTGGAGGCTCGCTATGTGAGGCAGTGAGGCCTCAGAAATCTCATGGAGAAGGATGGTTTCTTTGAAGTCAGTAGCCCCATATTCGCCAAACCTACACCAAAGCGATGGGGCGAACCAAACGAAACATATGTTGCCCCGCTGGCGCTGGTCAGGCTGATGATGAATAACCTCTTGGACTACGCCAGGCTCGGCTTAGCGGCCTTACCGGTTACTGGGACCGTGGGAACCGGGCGACCGGATTCTTCTAGATAAGTGGGATTCCAGCTTGATGGGTGCTGTGAGTAATTGTGTGTATGTCTTTGGCAGAGACCCATATCAGTTCACCACGTGGCCAAGCAGTATGTAGTGATGTATTCATATCTTCCAAGCATGGAGCTGTTGCTTTGACAAACCAAGTGCTCATGTGGTTCTACAATGGAGATAGACAGGATAGAACTCGGTCCAGCAACTGCACACACAAAGACCATGAAGACCAAATCGTGATCATCATGAGACAAATTCTGCCGATGAATCCTATGGATCCAGTAAGGCTTGTGCCTTCATTCTTGGAATGGATTTACTCGCGACCACACATTCCGATGTTTTCAGGGTGAACAATGTTGAGAAGCACTTTGCAGTTTCAAAGTCGCTGAGAGAAACACTTTGCTCAACGTTCGAGCACCGCGGAACTGGAACTCTTGCAGAATACACCAGTCTTTGCAGCATGTTGCAGCATTGCAGCTGTATTCTTTCCAAGTTTTCTCGAGATGATGTGCCGAGCCTCCAGATGCAAGCCATGCTGCTTTCTCCTGCTATCGCTAGTAGGGACATGCCTGTTCGCAGTGTCGCCGCTTGGTCTGTCTTTCTCGCCTGGCCGCGCCTTCCCCCCACGGGGACTCCACAGCAGTGTCCCGCGCGGTGTGAGACCCGAACTGAAGAAAGGAGCGATGCGGGAACGCATGACGCCAGGCCGGAACCGGGAAACAGTGGCCAAGCAGAAGATCCTGACGACCCAGGTGGCAGAATGTCAGTCAGCAGATGCCGTGCTGAAAGTAGTTGAAGGTTCCGATCTTACCCTGTCTCAACTGGATGAAATAAGTTTGAACACATGCGTTCACACGATTGCAAAGCTGCACAAGACGGTCAAAGAACCGCTTGCTGGCTCCAAGGGTTTCGAACAAATTATTCAACGCTTGCGGCTTGCGCAAACATATTCTCACCCAAAAGGCGCAGCCTCGCACCTTGTGTGATATCTTGTGGGCCATAGCAGTTGCTCGGCAAGAAGTTCCTGAGTTGCAAATGTTGCTTCCACCAACTATCAAAGCAATTGATGAGAAAGTTACGAATGGAATGAACATACAGAATGCAGTTATGTCCCTTTGGTCGCTGGCAACACTCCACACACACACTCCTGAGGTAAGAATGAGCTTGGATTTGGATAGGCTGCCCGACATATTGGTTCAGCGTATCCTTGTTCTGCAGAAAGCCATCAATTGTCAACACCTTGGTATGGGTTTATGGTCAATTGCTCGGTTGCCACCATCCATTGCAAGCCTAAGACAGGAGCTACAACCTGCCTTGTTGTCCCACTGCCGGGACTTCTTGCAGAATAAGAATCGTACAAGGGACGCCCGATATAGATTAAAGGCCGTTTCCCATGTGGCATGGTCCTTGTCACTCCTAGATTTCAAGGACAAGATGATGTTCGATTGCATATCAGACACGTTCGTGAAGGAAGCATCCGATCCACAAGGGACTCAGCTCTTGTGTTTCATTGATGTGTTGTGTGCCTATGCTAAGCTTCAGATTGTCGATGAACATTTGCTAGAAGCAGCAGCTTGCTTGCCATGGAAGCTATCCAAATTGCGAGACTGGGATGTGTCTGCACTTGCCTGGGCTTATCAAGAGCTCGATCCCATGGAAATACACAAGGCCTTTCAGGTCAATGTGCGCAGAGAAATTGCACGACGAAAACTAACAGAAGCGCAGGTGATGCAGAGCCAGCATGGATATGAAGAGTGGTACTCTGGAAATTCCTCCACTAAGTAGTGTTTTGGATGAATGTTTGGAGGCCAGACCTGTCTTGCGAGAAGAAAAGGACGATCAAGTGTGAACCTTTCACATGGACCAGTCCCTTCTGATTCGTTGCCACCCGGCATTTGGACAGCCGCAAAAAAAGATCCCGGCATTTGGAGGTAACTTGTTTCGATTTTTCTACTTGGTTCCAAGTAGCAGAATTTAAATCGCTAGACGAAGCTGTGAGGCTGGGTCAGTTGTGGGCGAGGCCAACTCAACCTCTGCGAGCAAACCTGTCATGTTGTGTGTTGGCCGATACTGGAACTACTTAAATACTCATGCACCTAAATAAAATCCTTATCCACCTAAAATAAAGCCCGAAACGCTGTAGTTTCATTAGTATGACAAGCAGTCCGTCCAATTCTTTGTAAGGTGTCCCAGGTGGTCCATGCAGGAAGACGAGAAGTCCCATGCCTTCACCGTTCCAGAAACGCATTTCCCTCGTTGCAAGTGCTCCAGATAGGGGTTCCTCTGCTCTTCCGTTGCTCCTTGTCAGTGCAGGGAGGTGCTCCCAGTGTTCATCGACTTACCCTCCATCCTTTCGGTGGGGCCACTGCCGGATCTTCAAACGAAACCCACAGCGCTTCGAACGACTTCCGACTACCGGATGCCGTCCGGACCCCGGCAGTCGTTTGACGCAGTGTGGCTGCGAGGTGGACACTCCCGGGCTGCCGAGCAGTTAAGTGCCTTGGCGCCTGAATGAGGACAAGTTCCTCTAGGTTCTGTATGCAGAAGTGATAAGAAGTGTATGAATAACAGGGAATGTAATTTATTCCTTAGTCCTTTGTGGGTGGTTTGACTGTCAGTCAGAGTCTGTTTGTTTTGTGCGGATTCTATAGCAGAAGCGACCTCTCCTTTGATTCCGCAAAAGCCATTAAACTTGCTTGGCCATGTACAATGTGCTCATGGGGCCAAGTTGGCCAATCGCAGTACAGCCTGAATTTGTGTGCAGCCTGGAATGGGTTCTGAATGTCATAGAACATGTACACAGCATTACACAGCATGGTTCAGCTAAAATATGGATTGATTATGCTGGAGTCGAGCATGACCTTCCTTCCAGCCGGTGCCTTGGAAAACCCAAGTTACCATTTGACCGTGCATTCTGCCTCACCTATCAGGAACCCAAGATTGTTGTGGAGACCCTGCGCACCGTTAGGTTCCAGGTCTTTTGGTTTTGTTCCACTCGCTTCGTACGAAAAAAGGGACTCCTGTGGTGACCCGCAGTGGTGTTTCAGATCTCTTGTCCCTCAACACAACCTTCACCAGGCGTTTCAGATTGATCCGTGTGATTCGAGAAAAGTGCTTGTGAGTCGAGAATGTAACCTGGGTTGTCGGCCAAGCAGATACATGAGGATGACGTGCAACTTGTGATGTTTGGTAACAGGATACACCCACATCCTTTCCACGACCAACAGTTGGGATCTGTTAGGATGATCGTTTGTTTTTCGGGTTGGTCGAAAAAGTCCGAGGAGATTGGCTGAAAGGCCTGGGTCGGAAATCCAGAAATGAACTATGAACAGAGCGGGGAAGGAGCCAGTTAATCAAATACGGTTTGGTATGGTGGGGCGTTCCAGGTGATGCTCAAGTTCTTCCATCAACAGCATGTTCTATTGGATGTGTTGTGGAGGTACTTTCTGGCAAGTTGTTGCATGCTCGGAGAAACTAAGGCGCGTTTTTGCCTATAGCTGGGCTGTGGTATTGCTATTTCAGCGTGCCTTGCAGGGAAGGGTTGCTGAGCAAAGTGTTTTGTGGGAGGTCTTTGTTCTTTGGAGTCTGTATACCGTATACCTCCAACCTTGTTACCTTCGTAGCTTACAGTCCGTCTAACCAACATGTATGTGTTGGTTTGTTCTTTTGTCAAGAGGCTCTTAAGGCGACCAATGCCCATCTCGAGAGACATGGCACCAAATCAGATCCGGGGGACAGATAGAGTTCAGCCTTCCCTTTCGCCATTGGCATTGGGCTGTGTTTTTGAAGTACTTCTTCTTTAGGCCTACATTTCACAGTCCATGGTTGGAGAGGCTGCACGTAAGCAATGACCTGTAGCCGGACCTACCTTGACATCAGGTTTTATGGTGAATATTTATTGCTGTTAAAGGAAAGCCTCTTATGATCTCTTATGTGTGTAACCGCTCTATTGCTTACAGACAGCTTTCGGAGGTTCCAGGTGGTGCAGACTGTCTTTCCCATTCGCCATTCTTTCCGGGACGCAGATTTGCCAGGATTTGCCATCGTGATCTTCTGCATGCTGATGCCTCAAGATCAGGACGTGGTGAACCCTGCTGTTCGGCCGTCGCGACCGACGAATGGACATTCGGTCGAAAATGAAAAGGACAGGCCGTCCTCGTCAGTCGATGTTTAGTGTGGCCACCAACACCGATGGGGGTGTTGGTATTTGTTGAATAGAGCGGTTGGTCTTTGTGGTGAGAGGATTGGTCGCCAAAGGGGTCTCTCAATGATTCGCGCCAAATTATTTTTTGTCGTTTTTTGTGGCATGTTGCAGGTGCACTGAAACACTTCGTCGGGGTCTTGCGCCCTGACAAACCTTGACACAGACTGTGAAACCTTGACAAACCTTGAAGACTGGTGCCAGGACTTTGCAATCCCTTTGACTTACCTGTTAGTCAAGCTGGTGCCGGGCAGCCTAACCATGTCGGACGACCTTGGCCAGAGAGGAAGGCAAAAAAATGGAGAGCTGCCCTCGACGAAGTTTGATGTTTCGATTGTGCTTTTTGCCCCGCTTATGTGCTTTTGCAATTTTTTGCCAGCTGGAAACCAAACGTCGCTCATGCACTTGGATGGGAGTAGATGAGTAGTAGATACGATTCAAGGATAATTTGCGTTGGTTGTTGTTGATAGCAACCTGTGCAAAGATGAGGTATAATATGAATGCCGGAAAGCATTCCGGATTCACCCCCATTGTCACCCTTTCACCATCTTTCACCGTAACAAAAACCACCTGGTGCCACTGCAACCCGAAAGCTCCTTGACGGACGGCTCCTCCATATGTCCCTCGAGGGCTTGCTACGGTCGGTGTTCTGAGGTCTTTGCTCGCGGAAGCCTCGTTACATCCCTACGTTTGGACCTTCTTGAACGACTGGGAACCTTGGAGTCCTCGATCGGACGAATTCCGCCGCGGAAGGCGGAAGTCCGAATGAAACAGGACGGAAGGCGTTCGGGGACGAAAGACGTTTGGAGCTGAGCAATGCTCCACCCCAGGGTCTGTCAACTTGATGTTTCGATGTGCATTTCTCCTGCTGGTTTATTTGATAGGTTTTCTGAAAGGTTGCTCACGTGTCCTACTGTTTTAGTGAACTTATTAATCCATCTCCTTCTTGGGTACCATTTGTCCGTGCTTTGGGATTGCGACTCCTTTGACAGACACAGATCCCCCATCTAGAGCTGTGCTGGGTCAATCCTTGTAGGATTCCGTTTTTGGAACGTCGTGCCATGGGTTTGGGCCAGGAAACTTGAATGGGTGGCAGTGCCTTTTAGAATTGCTGGGATGGGATGGGAATTCTGAATGCCGCCCAGACTCTTTCTGCAAGGCAAGGCCATTCTAGCCACACAACACCTTGATCGCTCCAACACGTGATTTCTTGTTTGTTTTGCTGTCCCCCAGACCATAGACACCCAAACATATAGAGGACGAGTTCTCCATGGGTTCATGATGGTTCATGTTGACCCTCCAGGTTTCTTTGAAGAAAGAACAGTCTAAGTTTGAGGCTCTGTGATGATGAAGCGGTACATTCAAAGTGTCGTCGGGTAAACAGATACATGACGATGCATTGGTGTTTCCTTTTGGCAGAAGCGTGTGTACAATGCAAGATCTCGAGGGATTTGGCAGTGGACTTGTCCAAAAGCAACGGAAGTCTCGAGAGAACTTCCATTGTTTCTAGCACCCGCAGTTCTTTTCAATGTTGCTTTAGGGAAGGTGAGGGCATTTTTTGTCACTCCTTGCCAATGTAACATGTCTCAAATTTTCTCATGGAATGACTCATCCTCGCACACCGACTCGTTTCACCCGCAGGGTTCTAATCTACGTGTTCGAGAAGGAATCTCTAGTGGTGAGTCACTTTTATACTCCCATCTCCACAATGAAGAAGTATCACCGTGTGTCCTTCATCCATTTGATCCATGAGGAAGTGTCCCTGCATGCTCTGATTTTTGTGCTGCTTGGCGTAGCACCGGAATCCTGCCAAGTGGGCCATGGTGAATGGGAAGACTTGTGTTCACAGTGAGACCGTAAATCAATCTACCACCACACCTTTGAGCCTCCCATGGCCGATTATGAAGACATTTGGGTTGCAGTATGCTTGCATGGAGATAGAGTTCAAAGGATCAAGCTAAATCATTGGTTGCGGTGCCTGTGGAATGCTGGAATGCTGCCACATTATGGATCTGTCAACAGTCCCAGAATGTTTGAAAACTACGCTTTGATAATCTTCTGATGCAACTTCATATCCAACAACGGCATGGCCACATTGTGAAATGCTGGCCAGGCACACACTTGAAAACCCGCTGAGCAAACGAATGTCTCAGCCAGGATATTTGGACCTCTCAGCCGTGATTAATTACGATCAAGGATGATAAAGGTAGTAATGACTCAGGTATGATCAAGGTGATGCTTGCTTAGCTGCAATCAAAACTCTTGTAGCGAATCATTGACTGCTTTCATGAGAAAAGCAAAGCAGGGACCCATTGGACAGCGTAATCAACAGTAAAACAAAGCACAGGAACTACCGCATTCACCAAGTTGGGGGTTGTCTTCGTTGGCCAGAGACCCCCACCGGGCTCCGGCCCCCTGCGCTTGTTTAAGTATCCAATTGCACAGGCGTATTTGTTATCAGACGCACACACACAAAAGGGCAGTTAGGTTGATGTCTTTTCTTTGAACCGTTGCATCAAGACATGAGCCATCTTCCAAAGCTGTGGCTATGTGGGAAGTTTGTCAAGCTGTGCGGTTGTGTGAGAAATTCCATCCTTTACCACGCAGCTTGCTTCGCTTATGACTGCTTTAACATGCTTTAACCCTGATTCAAACATAGCACAACTATGTGTTATATACTATATTATGTAACTCAATGTTGTGTCCACTGTCCAGCTCGGCACTTCAATGAACCTTAGGTTCATGCTCTTTGTGTCCTCCAAATGGTCCGATCATCGGCTGCAAGCACCGAACGGCTGGCGCACCGATTGCCGCCGTCGAACGGATGGGCGTCGAACAAGAGGGGCCGTTTCAAGGATCAATCAAGACTGATAGAGAGGGACCATATCTATCATATTTATATCATTATCTATCCAATTCAATCTGATCAGTCCTATGTTGCCAACTGGCGGATGGCGAAGTGGATGGCATGGACCGTTGGCATGAAGTATGCTCGTTGACGAACAGAGTGGTGTTCCACTTCCATGGAACGTGAGTCGGAGTGTATCCGTTGGTACTCGGTGGTGTTCTGATGGATGTATATAGATCTATGAATGTATTCCGCTTCGTTCTTCTGACATCTAAAAGGCAGGAGGGGGCCAGAACGGTCTGAAACAACGAATATATAGAAAAGAACAGGAATTTGATGCACTTGTGTTTGTTTGTCTCCTCAGGCATGACCAACCCCCAACTCACAACTGCACACACCCACAATTATCGTTCAAGATTCGAAACGCCAATCAAGATCCATGGGCACCATCTATGGACAATTGTAGAATACATGTCTCACTATACTCTGGTGCCCACTTCTGAACCCACTTTGCACGGGTGGGGCTGAAGGAGTTAACCTGTGACATCCTCGTAGTCGTCGTCACTGGCTGTGCTGTGGTGCCGCTGATTTTGCGCCTCATCGAGCTGCTGATCTGCAAGGACGGGCGGGAGAAGCTTCCCTACGGGAGTGGGTGGAGGAGCAGGACACGGTTTAGAGGAATGACCGGAACAGCCAAGGCTTGGAAATCTAGAACCCTGAAACACGAATATACCTCACATATGAGGCCATATGAGGCCTACTTCTAGGGACAGGAACTGTTTGTGGAATGCTGAGGCAGCTCATCAAAGCGACGTCCTTCGACCGAATCTCACCGATGGATCCCGTGAAACGTCCTCCTTTCGGGTCAGCGTCCAACTCGAACTCCGACACACTGAGTGGGTATTAGTCATTATCGGTCCATGGGGCGAAGACGATCATCATGTGTCTGATCTTCGGAGTCCGAGGTTCTTTTAGCGGGGCGGGGGCATCGAAGCCCATTCTTTTGGGCCATGAAGATGAGATTTTGCGCGTGTTTTGCTGCAGCTGGTCGTCTTGAAAGGAGGCTTTTGTAATGGTACTTCTCAGAATTCACTCTAGAGAGCTGGTCAAAAAGATCCTGGAGGCTATGCTGCCCTTGGAACGTTCATCCTCAGGATATTTGGTTTGTTTTGATGTGCATCTCCATCGATTCTCCCCGGTCCCACGCCTGTAGACATCGACGACGAGGTGATCCAACTCGGAGCCTCGCAGCAATTCATGCCATGCCCTATCAACTGGCACTGTCTCAAGCCGACCAGTGACAGGATGCCATTGAAGACCCGACGGATATTAGCATCAGCATAGATGAGGCGCCGGCAGAGCCAAAATCGCTTTGGGGCCTGAAATGGTGAACTACCAGGAACAAGATGGAACAAGAAGCTACTGTAACAAAGGGCATCGCTACTAGGAGCAAGAAGCTACTAGTCACCTTGTCTGTACTGTCCAGGCAGCAACCATAAACCATCATAAAGCAAGGAAATGCTGGCTTTTTTGGGGGGCCTTGTCCATGGTGGTTGATTCATGCGGACTTGAAGGGCCATTCAAAATATTTCAAGACTTTCATGAGAAGCTGTCGAAACTCTGCCAGCTGACCTCGATCACCTCGGGTCGTGTTTTTTCTCGGAACAAGCTACGCGCGTTGGACCCTCCAAGACTGAACGTAAGAGAAAAGATCTAAAAAGATCCTGCAAAGATGTGGAGTGCAACCTCCAGGAAACTGCACCAAAAACACTCATTCGTTTGACCTACGCAGAACTCACTGAGAAGAATCCGCTGAGAAGAATCCGCTCAGCTGCAATCTCTCAGGCGAAATCGGTGCCATCCTATCACTTGGAACAGCTGGATCCGGAGGACCTTGAAAGGCGGTGTATTTTTGGTTTCGACAGATGACGCTATGCCCCATCCCCTCTCTAAAAAGCTGTGTGTTCAGTGTCTGTGTGTGTGTGTGTCCACCCCTGGACAAAGGGTCTTCCACCACCACTCTTTC